GTGTGAAACCTTGCACGAAGCACTACTGGCCAGTTGACAACAAACTGGCGATTACTTTCACTTGGTGGAGTACAGTAGAAGAATGTGTTGATGTGCCAGATAACTTTGCTCAGTATGCTTACTCCCTTACGCCTTTTAATGAGCTACGCTCCCTTGTGGACAGGAAAGACTCCTTCACAGGTGCCACAGTTCTAGACCTATGATTTGTTACATATTACATTGATGATTTTTTACTGCTAACATGGATTCCTCTTCTTTATGACAACATCATAGATGTTATTGGAATCATCACTGAAATATAATCTGTTACAACCGTTCAGACACGCATTAAAGACGGTGATAGCTTGAAAAGGAACGTCTACATCCGCAATGCTGAGTTAGATCTCTTCCCTAAATTTGTATTGTGTATATTATTCCTAGCTAATTTTCTGACGCTCTCTAATAACTCTGACATCTTATATCATCCATGTCAGCCAACAACCACCAAAATATTTACCTTAATACTAACATATCATTTTACTATGCTAGCTCCCTTAATTCCAGTACGCCAGCTTTTTTTTGTGTTATAGACTAACCACTCACTACACCACACTCCCTCTGTGATTTTTTTTATATACACACAAACATAGCAATGAGACAACCAATATTGTGTTGTGGGGAGAAAGGGCTACAAGCTTTCCTGCAGATAACATTGTCAGTGCAGGCAAGCATCAACCGCAGATAGTTATCTTTGTTGGCACATTGGTGAGAGGCCATGGAAGTAAGCGATCTACTAGACACTTTGCTTGCATTTTTCTGCTATGCTTTTATCTTCTATTGTCATAATGCATAATACCATTGTTTCAGAAAACGTTTCTCTATCAGATAACTCGGCCTGCAAATGGTACATAAATATTGACACACCAGATGCCAAATCCTTGGCTGCTAGGTATATTATTCATATCTTGCTGTCGCCCACTGTTGTTTCACCCTGCTTTATTTCTATCTAGATCTCACCTATATAATTTTATATAGTGTTGAAGGGAGCTATGAGCCAATAAAATGGCTTGATCTGCCGGCTGGACCTGCTGCCCACAACAATGGTGAAGAAAAGACAATTGTTGAGATCAGAGAACTTCACCCTTTTAAGTTCAAGGTAAAACCCTTATATCCAGTTCGTCCTATTGTATTTCACACTATATAACAGGTTGTATTGATTGTCACCATCTTATGCAAACAGAAACATGAGTTCTTGGTTACTGTGGTCATAAAAAAAACTTAACATGGAGTATTCCTGGTGGTATACTGCTTGTGATATTTGCAATAAGACAACCAAACCATATGGAAGTTCTTATAGATGTGGAAACAACACATGCCCACCAGTTGTTTCAGCTTCACCTAGGTCAGTCATACTAGAACTAATCAAGCCACACAGAATAAGCATTGATGTATGAGAACTAATGTCACAGTGCATTTTTTAGGTTCAAACTGAGTGTGATAGCAGGCGATCATACAGCCGACACTACATTTATTGTTTTTGGCCGTTTGGCTCAAAGGCTCATTGGTCGTTCAGTTGATGCACTGGTGATGGAAAATCCAACCGGCAAGGACCACATACCGAGAGAGATCACTGATCTTCTTGACAAAGAATTTGTCTGGAATGTCAGCTTTACAGAGAACACAATTTCTAGTGGCATTGTCGCTTTCCAAGTGAATAGGATTATTAAAGGAGGTCAGAATTATTCCTTGGCTCTTCTACAGTCTCCATCTGGATCCCAGGCATCTTCTGTGGTACCTTCCATGGCCCTATCTCCAGCTGCATCTCAGGATGTTTCTGTTGGTCAGCACACAGAGACAGAAACTCCATCAGTAGGGTTTACTGATGCTCAGCTAGCTCTGGTTAGCCCATCCACTGGTACACAAGAAGATAAGAATATAGACGATGAGTTTGCATCAAAGACCCCTGGAGAGGATGTGGCTGCTGATAATGAAGACTATGACCAGGTCAGTGCATCCTATACCTAGCTCTCTAGCACATCCAAATTGTTCACTGCCCACACTAAGGCTATGTTTAGATCCAAAGTTTGGATCCAAACTTCAGTCATTTTCCATCACATCAACCTGTCATACACACACAACTTTTCAGTCACATCATCTCCAATTTCAACCAAAATCCAAACTTTGTGCTGAACTAAACGCAACCTAACTCTATATATTGGGAAATAGGATGATGAGCATCTCAGCCTTACACAGAAGGCTCCTGATTCTGTAGCTAAAAGCACCACTTCCAAGGCATACAAAAAGAGGTGAGCCACTTGATTTCTTTCTCTTTCAAAGTATGAGCTATTTGTCTGTATAGTAACCTATCTAAAAACTCGCACCAAAAAAAGGCCCAGACCATCTCCTGGAACCGGTGCAGCTAAGAAGTTGTTCAAGGACAATGATGCTGGTGGTACTGATGATGCTGCTGGAAGCAGGTATTGTTACTATTCTTATCTTTCGTTGTATTCTTGAAACCTTTTGCACAATTCTCATATGTTCTTTCCTAAATTTCTAGTGCCATCAAGAAGACCTAGCGCATCAGCAAAGATCGTTGCTCCTTTTTTTTTTGGATATATTCAGCTATATGTGGCCACCAAGATTAGCATTGCTGTCATAGAGACCAGCATTCCTCTAAGAAACTTCTTCGGGCTGAACAGAGCACATGCCTGGCTAATGTTTTCAAGATACCTCTACAGTCTTTTGTTCCCATGTTGGATGAATGCATCTCAAACCAACTAGGCTAGAATTATTCCTTTTGCAAGCAAACTTCTTATTTTTTGGCCTGTATTTATATAGCTGGCATTCTACATTATCATGATTCATCCTGATAATACCGAATACCAGCAGATCAGACCAACTATTATAGCTTTCTCAACCCGTAATTGCTTGCCATGGCTGATATTCTGTGCCCATATATCGTTTCCACGCAATTACGTCCACATAGTTTTCAATCCAATCTTTACAGCTCAAACGTTTCAAACGAACATCGATAGCTTTTAGACCAAGCGTTCACATATACGATAAACAACACAGTGCGTTCTCCAAACCACCATATGTGCCAACCCAGCTGCACATTGAAGAGAACATAAACACCCTATCTGCTCACTTGCCCACTTCTCTTGAAAAGACTTTGAAAAGACAACATAGCTAGCACCCTAGCAACCTGTCTATCCTCACTCTTTAACCTTCTTCTACCTCTATCCGTTCTCTTAGCCAGACCTCTCTCTCTCTCTCTCCTTCCATCAAGAACACATCCTCTTTTCCAGCTTCACTTCCTCCTTCGGTTCTTGCTTGCGATCTACTACATTGAGCAGAAGAAGAACGGCTCATTGCTATTGCTGCTCTGATATTCATCCATACCAGGTACCACAGCCACCGCATCTCATTCTCCAAACTGATTTCTACACATATATTATGCTTTCCTCGCTTATCTTATCAAATAAACATAGGTACAACAAATCAATTAGTAAATACAACGGCAGGGAAATTAGATCTGTTTATAGATAGAACAGTTTCCCTACATGCACAAGCCAAGCACATTTACGGCCATATTTTTCTTTTATTTTTGCAGCAACATGGAACACAACCAAGACAGGGAGGTTACTAGGCCAATAACATAACCATCGACCTATGTGAAGAAACGGCCACTAGCAGCAGCAAAATTTTCCAATAGAAAGGAGACGTCCCAATTACTAGCCGACATTATATACCAGAATGCAATAGTTGTCAGGGTCCATGGAGCTGGTAATCCAACCACAACCTAGATATCAGCGATGCTAGGTTTTGTCTGTGACTGCCAGGTTGATGATTTTGCCTTGCTTCCATTCCGTCACCGGATACATATTGCCATTTTTATGGATCATGACCAGCAAGAAGAACAATATGAGAAAGCACTGAACCAAAAAACATACACATTCAGAACAACAAAGCTTGAATTTCAGCCTTTCAAAATGAACTTCCACAGTACCATCAGTCCACTGCGTCAAAGGGTGATACTAGCATTAGGAGTGCCACCTGAACAATGGAACAAAGAGGCTATAATAGAGTTGCTCGACAACTGTTGCAGAATCGAAGAACTGTATGAAGAGCACCATATCCAGGATCTTTCAATGTTTAGATTGGCGGCATGGACAACAAACTGTGATCTTATCCCAAAGATCATAGAGTGGAACATTGACACAAACCAGTCAGGGCAACAATCCACTGATCTGAATTGGAAACCAAATGGGGATCTATCTATCATACTAATTCATATCGAAAAGCTGTTTGACTACAATGATCCAACCAGTGGAAATGAAGCCAATCCAGAGGCTCTCATAGAGTATGAAAACAAAGTGCATCGTCTCCCAATTATCAAAAGATTCCAGTGGCTGCCCGGCAGGATCGACTCTGATTATGGCCCAATCGAAGGAGGCGCACCGTCAGTGCTACGGCAACAGCTTCCAGTCCACCTTCATGAAGAGCAGCCATTTGATCATCCTCAGTCGCAGGCTATATAGTTTTGTTGCACCTGCAAAAGAACCAAAAAAATATATATATGTTATGTATCCTCTGTTTTGCTCACTGCTAGAGCTCCTTGGACATGCAATGCAGCATGACTACCCCTGTTATACTAACCTTTCAGCTTTATATCCATCTGCTATTACTAAGATCCTCCAATTCTATTTGCTTTGCTTGAATGCCTTCGCCATAAAACTCTAAAAATACTGTGTTAGCTCTATAGCCCTAAATGAACGGTGGGGAGGCGCCGCGAAGCGCGCCGAAAATCCTAGTTCATTTATTAATATATGGCCTCACCTGTTATATACACATTGCGTCTTGGAGTCTGTGTTGCAGCTGGGTATAGATCCGTAGCTCGCTGCTCTTCTCCTTTATCTTTTATCTCATTAAAATATATTTATAACTGGCTAATAGTCTGCTATTATACCTGCTCTGCTCTTATGGCACCAAGTACGCCAGCACAGGGTCCATCGATTCATTTCCGTTCCCCCCCAAGAAGCCCCTCATCCCGTTGACCTCTCATCCTCTGGTTTCTTCCAGTTCCACATCTCTTTTCTTCAGAAGAACAGTTCAACATCTCAGACATGGATGATGGAGTATATCACTGCCAAGTGAATTGGGCGGTGAACCTTGCCATGCCGTTGGTGGACAAAGCCTTCTCCTACATGGATGGCGTCAACCAGGATAGGAAAGAGAAGCTGTTGCAGGGTCTCTCAGTAGTACGAAATGACCATAGCTATCCGCGGTACCGATTTACCGTTGATCATCCACGAGAGACGAACCTTTTGCGCGCTGTTGCGGATCTGGAGGACGCAATCGACGATGTCGAGCACAGAAAGCTGCAAGAGGTTCGTGATCCCATACTTCACAACTTTAACAAGCATTTTGTGCCTTCTGGCAATAGCCTGGAATTTGCTATCCGGCGGTTAGAAGATGCTGTCGTTATGTTAGAAAAAGATGCGCCATTCTACCCATCCATTGGTTTTGTCAGTCCACGTGGTAATCTCTATTACAAATACAATGAGAACCGCATGGTATTGTTTGGTAGAGAAAGAGAGCAGCAACAGATAGTGCAGTGGTTGATTGAAGAGCCTCAACCTATTAGCATAAACCATCCTGTCTCCATATTTGCAATAGTAGGTATGGCAGGCATGGGGAAGACAGAACTTGCTCGTCTTGCTTATGAGGACTCGAAAGTTCGATTGAATTTTGACTCATGTACCTGGGTGTCACTGCATGGTAATTTTAGTGCAGAAGCAATAACAAGGGCTATAGTGGCATCAATTACCGGAAGACTTGCTATGCTGCAGACCACGATTGCTACTGATAATATCAGAGACAATAAGCTTCTACTTGTTCTGGATGATGCCTGGGATGATACTAGTCTGGAGGAGTGGAAATCAATGGCAGATTCTCTAAAAGATTGCAAACCTGGGAGCAGGATCCTATTGACGACTCAAATGCAATCAGTAGTGGACATTGCAGAAGATGGCATAGGAGTTAAAGCTGACTGTGTGAAATTGGGTGAACTTGATGAAGTTGACAATCTCAAGCTCTTTGAAACTTGTTTGCTTTCTGATGGGCGTTCTGAAGATTATGCTGATTTCGCATTGATTGGTGAACAGATAGCAAAACGGATTGGTGGATGCCCTCTACTAACGGCTATGGTTGCTTCACAGTTGAGTTGCAATATGAATCCCCAACACTGGAACACCGTACTTCAAGAAGGCTGGCAGTATGTAGCGGGATTTGACTTTCTTTTTACTAGTTACAACCGTCTACCTACGGAGCTACAAAATTGCTTTAGATATTGCAGTATATTTCCAAAGGGACACAGATTTGACAAGTTGGAATTGGTAAACATGTGGATTGGTTCTGGATTGATACCTCTCAGCCCACTGGAAAGAGAGTTTGATGTGGCGAAACGATTGATATCTCTCAGCTCATCAGAAAAACGGGATGCTGATGTGGGGAGGCAATTGTTACCTCTCAGCCAATCGGGAAAAACGGCTGTTGATTTGGGGGAACAATACTTCGATGCATTGGTTAAAAAATCATTCTTCTGCCCTATGCTAGAAGCAGAACCTTCTAATGGAGATCAGAAAGAATATTATGTCTTGCATAGTTTAATGCATGACTTGGCACAATTTGTCTCACAAGGTGAATGTGCGAGAGTAGATAACGATGATTTCCAGAATGTCATGCCGATGACCAGACACTTGTCAATTGTACATTGTGGCAATTTAAACCAGATCCCCCGTTTGAAGTATTTGCGGACTCTTATCATACAAAGTGAGTTCTATCTGGATCAAGAATCTGAACTTGCTCTCCGATATGTTCTGCAGTGTTCTAGACACTTGCGTCTGCTATACCTGCGTGGGCCATCCCTTTCACCTGAACTTTGTGAACTCAACACTCTAACTCATCTCCGTTATCTCTTTTTATTTTCATGTGTTGGATCTATAATTAACCATGTGCGTGGACTCGATCATCTGCAAGTGCTCAAGATCAATTACTTCACTAATGATGAAGAAGAATACTTCAATTACATACATAAATTACAGTCATTGCATTGTCTCCATGTTCCTGAAAATATTATGTTATCCAAGATCCTTCAAATTGGGATGTTAACCTCGCTTCAGGAGTTACATGGAATTGGGGTTGCTGAAAATGATGGTCACAGTATGAGTGTGCTGAGTAATTTAACTGGCCTATGTCGACTCAGCCTAAGAAATCTCCAAAATGTTAGGAACTGTAAAGAGTCTATGGATATCAAAATAAAGGACATGAGACAGATGAGATTTTTGTCTCTGTCATGGAACAAATACTTGAATGATCCAGAGAATCTTGATCATCAAATCATTGACAGCCTGGAACCAAACAAAGAAATTCAGCAGTTGCATATACATGGATATAGTGGAGTCCGACTTCCGATTTGGATTGAGAATCCATCGCTCATCCATTTGGTCTCACTTGAGCTTGAATGTTGCATGAAATGGAAGAGCATGCCGTCATTTCAGAAGCTAAGTTCACTGAAGTATCTCAAGTTGGAACACCTTTTACAGTTAGAATGCATAGGTACAGTGAAAAAGGAGCAATTTGGGAACAATGAACCAGAGAATGTTCTCCCTCCATTTCTCAAAACTCTCATCATTCGGTGGTGCTCTAGCCTGAAAAATCTCCCGTCAATACCTTGTACCCTTCATCAATTAATAATAAAGCATGTTGGGCTTGCTGTTCTGCCGATGATACATCAAAGTTATACTGGTACGCGTGAATCATCATTCTCGTCATCATCAGTAAAGTCATGTCTTGTTCTTTTGCACATTGAATGTTGTGAAGATTTGACTTCTCTGGATAAAGGTCTTCTGGAGAAGCAGCAATATCTTCAGTCCCTCAAGACATTACTTGTGAGACATTGTGAAAACCTAAGACATCTGCCTGCAAATGGTTTAACAGAATTACATCACCTGACTTCCCTAGAAATAGTTGCATGCCCAATGCTGAGGAATGTTGAGGCCAAAGGCAACCTGTGGCCTATGTCACTCAAGAAGTTGGACATCAATCCATGTGGTCATATTGAGGATTCAGTTCTCATGTCACTGCAAGACCTCACATCCCTCAGAAGTTTTACACTGTTCAGCTGCTGTAACATAGAGAAACTTCCATCAGAGGAAGTGTTTAGGACTCTGAAAAATCTGAATGATGTTTCCATAGCAAGATGCAAAAACTTGTTATCCTTGGGTGGTCTTGGAGCTGCTCCATCCTTGAGAGTTCTATCAATCCTATGTTGTGACAAGATCCATCATTTATATTCTGAACAAGCTGGTTGCTCCTTTAAGCTGCGTAAGCTCGAAGTTGATCGTGAAGCGATGTTGCTAGTGGAGCCAATAAGGAGTCTCAAGTACACTATGGAGCTGCACATCGGTGATGATCATGCGATGGAGTCCTTGCCTGAGGAGTGGTTGCTACAGAATGCTTCTTCGCTCCGTTTGATCGAGATAGGGGTTGCTAAGAATCTGCAGGCCCTACCTGCTCAGATGGAAAATTTGGAATTACTACAGGGCTTGCATATCGAAAGAGCCCCTGCAATTAAGGTCCTCCCACAGCTACCAGCTTCACTTAATAAGCTGACAATCTGGGGCTGTGACCCAAGGTTTCTGGAGCGCTATGAAACTAATGTTGGTTCAGACTGGGTCAAAATCAAAGACATTGCTCATGTGGATATGAAGGCCTACTCCGAAGGTGCATTTCTTTCTGTTCTCAATTTTATCTTTGCCATGTAACAACTAACTTTATGTTATTGTGTCTTTGATCAGTTAGATATTTGTTATTTACTCACCAGTCATCACTAAGAATTATAATTCATTCTCATGCTGAGTGCTTACTCATCTTTTGTTTAGTATGGATTATTTGATTGGCCTCATCCTCTATCGAAATACCACTTGTCCTGTTCCTACGTCCGCTGTTGTGCAAGATTCTATAGCACTTAACAATTTTATATAAGGATTTATTGTTCTGATCTTTTATACAAAAACAAATTTGCTGAATTATTACAGTTATTAAAGGATTATAAGTAGGTTCTTTTCTTACAGTTGCTTGTTTAGAAACTCTATGTGTCCTGTAACATGTGTACTTTTATATCGACCTTATTGTCATGCTAAATAAACTAATCTTCTTCCTCCCCATGTCTATGATGGAGAACATTCAGCTCATCTTGAAATGTTTTTTTGTCCGAATCCTTTTGGATGCTTCTGCTACCTGTGGGTCATGGGTGTTAATGCTTCACACTCCTGCATAAGCAAATCCGTATACTTAATGTACTTTTGTTTTGTAGATTCAAGCGACGATGATGATAAGATTCAATATTTTGATGACAGCACCACCAATCCTTCCCCCCGATTTGTTGTCATAGACTAAATACCAGTGCAACATGTGGAACAGTGGAAACCTTTGTGTAAAGAGTAAGACCCATGAATAGCTGAGTAGTTTCCTACAAACATTGCGATGTTGTCAGTAGCATCATATGAATATGATCCAATCTTGCCTCTGGTAAGGTGCAATATCCAGAACGCAATCAATGCAATGAACAGACTCTACACTCTTGTTGCTGGTAGCACCAGATGATATGAACTTTACAGGTACTTCATCAAAAAGCTAGTGCAAAACTGCAAATCAAGACTGGCATGTCCTCTTTGCTGCCTCTTTTGCACAAGCTAAATGGATATTATACTCTTTTTCAACATAACGATAATGTACTCTGGAATTTTTGTATATTCATTTTGTTCAAAATTTCAGTACTACAGCACATATCTATAATATATTCTGAAGTTTTTGCATCCTCGTTCTGTTCGAAATATGAGTACCACAGTACACATTTACAATATGGTAGTTATATGCAAAAGAAGAGCATATTAATATCCGAGCAGAGGCTTTGCTTTACTCCTTTTCACCACTAGAGATGTACTCCCTCCGAACTCGTAAAGAAAGTTGTTTAGGACAATGCTTAAGTTAAACCTTGGGAATATAAATCATGAATAACTCTTAAGTTGTTGAGTTTGAAAATGTAAAAATTATATGAATAGATTTGTCTTGAAAAATACTTTCATAAAAGTATACATATATCACTTTTCAATAAACTAGAAAAAAAGCCCGCGCAGATACGCGGGTAATTTATTTATTGTTTATAAAAAGAATACTAAAAAAAGGTCATGTCTCACTGTATCCATTATAAAAACCCTAGATTAACATATAACCTAAAATAAAAAATATTTATATTGTTAAATAGACCATAGAATTTATATACAAATAAAAATGACTATCATATTCAAACAGAAATCACTTTGTATCAATTTTATGTAAACTCGCCTATCACCATCCTCCGCAAGATTTTTTTTTCTTTTATTATACATCTAATTCACCTATGCATGTTTATGGGTAATATACAAAGGAATAATTTATATTGTTGAAATTATTTGTGCTAATTGTTAATGCTATTTACATGAGAACGACATAATTAAAAATGATATTATATGGTTCCATATGACATTTTCGATTGTACGTATATATATATATATTTTTTCTAGTGAATAGTAATCTGTCGTACGCACTTACTTTTTTCCTTTTTTGAACAAATATTTCTCTCATATGGGGTAGGGTATGCATATATGTATTCATGGAGTGGGTATGTACACGTTTATATGAGCGCCTATGATTACCTTTACAATATTTAAAAAAATACTTTCAAGAAAATTGGTGGGATGGCATGAAGTGGCGCCATAGCGGCGTTGCTTCTTTGATAACATCGCCAGGACTGGTTGCTATATACATGCATAATTTGAAGAAAACCTTAGGGCTATAAAGAGAGAAATAGAAAACTACCGAGATGGGACAGATCGTATGCACTCTTCTCTTTTTCTTCTTTTCGATATCTCTTGTGTGCATACGTACATAGGGATAGATTAGTTGATTTTTAGAAGCAAGGAATTAGAATATATCTAATCTAATGGTTGAAAATGGATTCATCGGTTTAAGTGTAAATTGATGACCAGATGTTTTGCCTTTTTTTCTTATATTTAGCGTCACATAGCATCTTAGGCTGTGTTCGGCAGTGGCTATTCCCATCCTCTCCTCGTTTTCCGTGCGTACGCTTTTCAAACTACTAAACGGTGCGTTTTTTGCAAAAAGTTTATATACGAAAGTTGCTTAAAAATCATATTAATCTATTTTTAGAAAAAATTAGCTAATACTTAATTAATCACGCACTAAATACTGCTCCGTTTTGCGTGCCAGGTAATGAGGGTTGGGAACCCTCACTCCCGAACGCAGCCTTAGGAGTATTTGTAGGAGTGTAGGAATGCTATTACTCATACTCACAATCTATTTGTAGTCAACTATTATTTGATGTGGCTTGGTGGCACTCTCTATTTACCTATCATTTGTTCATACATGCCCTTAGGCTGAGTTTGGAACTGAGAGTTCCCAACTCTCCTCACTCATTTTCCGCACACACGTTTCTCAAACAGCTAAACAGTGTGTTTTTTGCAAAAAAAAATTCTATAGGAAAGTTGCTTTAAAAAATCATATCGATCCATTTTTCAAGTTTTTTTAGGATAATACTTAATTAATCATACGCTAATAAACTGCTCCGTTTTCTGTGCCAGCGGGAAACGTTCCCAACTCTAACGAATGAAAAGCAGCATTAGTATCGTCCTTTATCCTCTGTGCTTCATGACAAACGTGTTCATTGAACTCTAACGAATGAAAAGCAGCATTAGTATCGTCCTTTATCCTCTGTGCTTCATGACAAACGTGTTCATTGGATGTCAGCTAATTATTAGACGCACTGTGCATGGATACCATGTAAGCAATATGACTTGGCAATTGGTGGATAGTGGTTTGTATATAGAACTTATATACATAGGGATAAATTAGTGGGGACATTATTGAAAAATTATATATTGTATGCTACATATTAGTTTTAGTACATACGTAATATATTTATAGTTAAGTTCTAAAACGTTTATCTGATTGGCTACTCACTTAGTTATCGTGACTACGTTTACTGAATTGCTAAATGGTGTGTATTTGAAAAATATTTTCTATACAATTTTTTTTTTCAAAATCAAATAAATTCACTTTTGAGTTTATAATATTTAATACTTAATTAATATTACGCTAATGACCTACATCGATTTGTGTGCCCTGGACATGCTCAACCAATGAGCTAGATGGAACGAAGGCTAGGTAGGAGATAAAGAACATCAATATGGTGTCAAAAGAATATATTTGTTCTTTAATTTTCCAATAATATATGAATAGAGAAAACACAAAATACATGAAAAGTACATTTATGATAAATTTAGAAGTGTCATTTTGATATATGTGTATTTTTTATTGTTGGAGTTATTTTTTTCAAAAATATAAGTCGTATCTAATTTAACTATTATATAATCTACATTTTTCAATTCATTTATGTTTTTCATGGATTTTTCGATGACATGTGTCTAATTAGAATACAACTCGAAATAACATATTCCCTCTATCCCAAAATATAATATTTTTTCGCTATGAATCGGGACTAATGCTTGTTCAGAATTATAGTTAAAAGTTAGAATGTAGTACATGAAATAGCATAGTACATGTGTATTATTATTCATTATGGTTTTAGTATATTTTTATTGTTTTGTTGTTATTTGGTTGTCACGCAAATGGCAAAAGTACGTATATCTTTAAAGTTAGAAGAGTGTTTTCTTATATGTGGATTTAATGGTTTCACCGGTTAAATGTTATGGATCTACATATTTAAATGCAAATTAATGGGTAATTGTTTTCTTTATAATATTTTAAAAAAAATTAAAATATTAGATAGAATATAGGAAGGTGAGAGAGAGGATTATTGGACGATGGAGGAAGTGTGCGTGCCCATGTGCGTGCACGGGTGTTCGGAGGGATTAGTATGCTTTTGAACTAATCTAAATAGGAAAAAAAAAAGATGTGCAAACGGCAGTACATAAGTACGTACATACGTTTGTTTTTCTTTTTTGGCAGGAATACTATGCACATACTTAATTGGTAGTTTTTGATAGTTATTTTCTGGAATACTTACGTGTATTTTTTAGTAGATGTCGATGTATATAGATCTAATTAAATTGGTATAAAATATTGGGTCCACCAATTTAAATAAAAATCGACGGCAAGTATAGATCTAATCTAACAGTATAAAATAATAGGTCTACCAATTTAAATAAAAATCGACGGTGAGAATAAACTGTGCCACGTGGTGGACTAAAAGCGTTTAAAGATAGAACGTTTAAAGAGCATTGATTGGATACTTTATTTTTATATTAATTTTCGTAAATTTATAGAGTAATATATTTTATTTTTAAATTGTAGAAAATCCTAATTTATGTACCATCGATTTTTTATAATGCACTACGTACCTATGTTTACTTTTTTTTTTATTACGCAGCTTCTTTTCCAGTTGTACGTAATTACGGAATACTTTTTGATGGGATACGTATACGGAGTTTTTGTTTGGTTTCCCGGCCCACAGTAAACATGAGAAAAGTATTAGTTTCTTTAAGAAAATAATACATCCAATCTAATGGTCTAAAATATCGGGTCTACCAATTTAAGTGAAAATCGACGGTGAGATTAAACAATGCTATGTGGTGGTCTAGGAGCGTTTGTACGAGCGCAACATGGCGGTTTAGGAGCGTTTGTAGGAAGTTTAATGGACTTATAGTATATAATAGATATTTTTATAACAAGAAGTCAAAGTTGTGTGTTGGAGACCGTGTTGTTGTCTAAAACGACCTCCTCTACGAGTATGGAGGGAGTACTCTCCCAGCAACTGCTTGGGGACAAAGCATCCAGTTTTTACCTTTTTATGGCAGCATGCCATTATTTTAAGTTGCATTTGAACTGATCACAGCTAGATTGACATGCAGAGCCCGATTGCAGCAAGGGTGCCAGACCAAATGGGCTATGGAGTGATGCCTACAGGCCTCAGCAGCGGGTTCGATATGAGGCCATGAAGAGCAAGACTGGATTGGATGGTGATCATCTGCAGAGACTGTAATCTTGGAGTGTGACCCTGGAAGCATACACTCACCAGATGATATATGTGTGATCATGACTAATTCTGCTTAATTCATGACATAAAGTTCCATTATTAAGATAAGATTACTATGCCTGAATTGTTTCTGATTGTTCTATATACGAGTGTTGTGCTGCATTTGAATTTTGTATGAACGGAACTGGCAACGGGAGTTGCATTGGACATCGTAGCATTATTCTCGATTTGTACTGAATTCAAGGCCACCTTTTTTTGTTTTTCGTGTTTCAGAGCACCACAGATTTAGGGGTGTTCCTACTGAGCGCGCGCGCGAGAACGGGAAGCCGCACGTGTTTTGGCTTCCCCTACTAACCCTAGCGCTTACCGTGTAAAAAAAGGGCTTGCGTTTTTTTTCTGTTCGCATCTTTTTTTCCTGCCTCTGAGCGCTTTTTTTTCTCCGTTTCTTTCCGATTTTTTTCAATCTTTTGCACACTTCTTTACAAATGTAGAATTGAAAAGTTTTTAATTTTGACTTGAAAGTTTTCAAATCTTGACTTGAAAGTTTTAAAATTTTGTATTGAAAGTTTTTAAATTTGAGTTGAAAATTTTTACATTTTGAGTTGAAAGTTTTCAAATTTGAGTTAAAAGTTTTCAAATTTGACTTGAAAGTTTTCAAATCTGGCTTGAAAGTTTTTAAATCTAGGTTGAAAAGTTGAAAGTTTTCAAAATTTAACTTCAAAAAGTTTTCAAATCTAGTTTTCAAATCTAGGTTGAAAGTTTTTAAATTTGGGTTGAAAGTTTTCAAATCTGGGTTGAAAGTTTTTAAATTTGGGTTGAAATTTTTTAAATCTGGGTTGAAAGTTTTCAGAATTTGACTCTACGTATAGATTTCTTTTCAATCTGTTACTTCAAAAGATCTTTGGAAAAAAGACAAATCTTAACTTAATTATTATCATTATCTAAAACTAACCGAATTAGTTTTATGCGTATAGAGAAAAAAAATTCCGAAAAAAAATAAACGCGCATCTCGTCAGCGCGTGCGCTAAGAATGACTGAGGATGGGACGTGTGGGCCGGCACGTGCGTACGCGCCAATTAGGATTATCTCAGATTTAGTACAGGATGCGACGGACGGAGTGAAAACGGAAGCGACTCCAGCTTGGGCGCCCGATTTACGTGCAAAACTATTTAAACTGATTTTTCTCTTAAATTACTTATCCAAATCATGATCTGATTGCACCATTAAATTCATTGCAATTAAATCTTCAAAACAAGACCACACATGGATATATTCTGACGAAAAAAAATTAGCTTATTATTGAATTATTTTTAAATGTTGCACGATGTTCCACCAGGCATACCAGGCATATCGGAATTGTTTATCGAAAATGTTTCACTCGTTTAAATCGGATGTTGTTTCACCTTATATAAAAATAATGTTTCAGCTAATAGCGAAAGAATGTTTCAGTTCAATGCAACATTAGATCTATATATAGTGAAACATTGTGAGTACACTAGGTGAAACATTTTTTTTGGAACAAAAAATTAAACGAATTCGCTTAATAGAGATAGAGGGTTTCCAAAATATGTGGGTGATTTGTTGCAATGGAATATTTTAGTTCACTGCAACATTAGATCTATACATAGTGAAACATTGTGAGTGCACTAGATTCCCTTAATAAAGGGTTTCTAAAATATGTGGGTGATTTGTTGCAGTGGAGTATATGGTGGAGATACATGGTGGGGCCAAGAGGAGACACTGCGCGTCAGGGTGGGGGGGGAGCGCCTGATCCAGCTCCCCCCGCACCGGTTGCCCGGTGTTGAGCATTTCTCAGTAAAAACGGTTTGATTCCCTCAAATCGAAAGCTACCTTCGTTTCAAAATATTGCTACCTAGTAGGTGATTCTTATACACTAGTCTACTATTCAGATTCATTGTTCTATAGGAAGTGTTCAATCGTCTCCTAGGTAAGGGCCTATCTGGTTGATGCCCTCAGCAACATACCTAATAAATTTGTGTGCCTGAGAGGCACATGAGTACTTGCCTGGTCAGGTAGCCTGAGAACGAACTTGTTTGGATGGCCTACCTGGCCTGAGAGGGGCAAACTGCAACTATGCTTCAAATGGTTACTCCTAACGCATGTGTTTACGGCAATAAACAAATTAGAGCGTAACTGCATCTTCTCTCCAACAAAAATAATTGTACTGTCTAACTTTCCACAAAAAAATCCTTCGTGAATCAAGAAAAGAAAAGGAAAGGAGAACAGGAGGAAAGAGATCCCCATATCAACGCATCTGCATCAAGAAAAGAAGGCAGGAGAATACAAGGAAATTAAGAAATCCCCAAATCCGATATAGCTGCAAGAAAAACTTCCATTTTTTTCTCCCATTCGCATGCTAAGCAAAATCGAAGGATGACAAGGTCCAGCAGTAAATGCTTCGTGCCGACGGCCGGATCCAACAAAGCAGCGAAGACGACGTCATCTGACGAGAAAACGGCGGTTGTTGGAATAAATAGGCTAGACCCGATTTAATTCAATTAAATTCTATAGACCACAATAAATATTTATTAGAGGTAATAAAACAACCTCAGGAATTTAAGTGAAGAGATCTCAACTTAAATTGGGAACTAGAGAAGAGCCCCTGTTGACCGGTTGAGATAGTGGGCAGACTGCCACACGCGTGCGCTGGCCGGCCGTGGGAGGTGGGCGGCTGCTCTCTCTCTCGTAACTGCGGGCGCGACTGTTACTCCGATAATGGACGAGAAGTGCTCCCTCCTGCGCTATAAAAAGCCGCCACTGGACGAGAAGTGCTCCCTCCTGCGCTATAAAAAGCCGCCACCGCCCATTCAATCCCCCTGCGCTATAGAAAGCCGCCACCGCCCATTCAATCCGGCTCAACAGACTGCAGGCGCGACTGTTACTCCGGTAATGCCGCCACCGCCCATTCAATCCGACTCAACAGACTGTGGGCGCGACTGTTACTCCGGTAATGGACGAGAAGCGCTCCCTCCTGCGCTATAAAAAGCCACCACCGCCGGTAATGGATGAGAAGCGCTCCCTCCTGCGCTATAAAAAAAGCCACCACCGTGACAGAGCTCTGGCGCTGCTACTCTGTTTTCCCCGGTTCTGATATGTTGCGCGCACAACAGATCCAGGACGAGCAGGTGCCTCCGAAACTCCGTCCGCTTGAGAACCTGCACGGGTAGGCGAGCGATCAAGTTTTTGGGGAGCGTCTCGACGCGACTGCTCTGCTTCCTCTGTATCGCCATGGCTTCCACCGGCCATGGTACTCCAGGAGTAGGAGGGAATGGCGCCGGAGTTGGAGGGAACAACGGCGACAACATCAACGGAGGCAATTCTACCTCACAATCCAGCGGAGGAACATTTACTGGGTATAATCTCTCTATACTACTGTTCATGCTCGCTAAATTTCTGTTTGTCGCAATGTCTTCAATACATTGCCCTATGGTGAATATCTATGCTAATTATATATTAAGCATGATTTGTTCGTTGCTTCTGTTTAACAATTGCACTAGTTTATTTCCTGTTAAAGTCATGATTATTATCTTAATAATTTGAATTAAAATATATCGAATTGTGACCATATTTCCAAAAACGGTTTCGCTTGACGACGGGAGCGGCAGCGGCGGCTGCTACTTCACTCGACAACGAGAGAGACACCATCGCAATGGTGGCTTCATTCGATGGTGGTGACGACGGCTTTACTCGATTGGTTGCGACCTCTAAGAGCGAGATTAGGATAATAACTAAAGCACGCTGCTATGCCTAGGGCTCAGGCGACTATCTTTGGTGGCCTGACTCAAGCTAATCCCATGCCGGAAGATATCGGGCCAGGCGAGGGAGGATATGCATCAGGGAAGCAACCAAACAACTACTCTCTCTATCTCATAAAAAACCAACCTAGTATTAAATGTGACATATTCTAGTACTGTAAATCTGAACATAGTACGTACAACATCCAAGCTTATCTCAGGTCAGGCCAATTTCTCTCAGGGTAGCAGCCGAATTGGCCTAAGTAGCAATATTTTAAATGAAGAAAGTAACCCAATAGTAAACTGTTCTAACCTCGGTCACAAAATTAGCGAACGGATATAACAGTTACTGTACAATGTATTGTAGTTTCTTTATGACTAAACTACTGTAGCAATAATAATTCATGGTGTGTTTTTAATCAGCCTTGAGTCTTAAGGTTAGTATATGATCATCAGCAGAAGAGTAAAGTTGAGAACTTTTTTTTTTCGAAAAAGAGTTGAGACGTACTCCATCTGTAAAAAAAAAACCCAAAAAAATCCTAATCATGTGTACGTACAGATTCAAAGTCAGGATTTTTTTTTTTACGGAGAGAGTAGTTGTGAATGTATATATTTAAAATAATAAAAAAATAGCATCAGAAGAGTAAAGTAGAAAAATAAAAAAATAACATCAGAATAGTTAAGTATACCGTTTTAAATAGGTTGGTAGTATCTTTTCTACTACCCATTAATTTATTTTAGGTGCAGTTATGAGTTTTCGTGTCCAACATTTAATCGTTTATTTTATTTAAAAAATTTATGAAAAAAAATTAAAAAAACAGTCACACGTAAAATACTATACATGTTTTATTATGTAATAACAGCAAAAATACTAATCATAAAATTTTTTTAAATAAAACGGTCAAATGTTGAATATAAACTATGAAAAAAATATAATCTTCCTGGAACAATAATAGCGGTATTTTTTTTAACATTAGTTAATGCTATTTCTCTCTTATCTTATTAGGCTACATCACCTCAAATATTTCTAACCTTTGGGTGATAGATCTATTATTTAAATTGTCTCTTCTTTCTTAACACCATGCAATCTCGACAGCGAGGCGTCTGTGGTGACTTCGTCAATCTCTCCAGGATTTGCCGACCCAGTTTTCAAAGATGCTCATAGGGGTAAGGTTTGCGTGCGTATGTTCATAGGGGTGAGTGCGTATGTGTTGTGAGTATCTGTGTTGTACTGTGTAATTTTTTTAAAAAATTATTTTTACACTCAAAATTTATAAGTATCAATTTATTTTAGTTTTAATAATTATATTACAGGTTATTTATAACATATTATGTAGCTTAATTTACCGTAGCAACCGGCACGGTGCATTCATCTAGTTTAACAAACGCCACACCCACACAAACCGTCGTCAGTACAGCCCGAGCCCGACACGACGGACCCACCGCAATAAACGACCGCGGACCATGGCGTGCACCAAGGCCAGAAGATGGAACGCCCGGTTGTCGCCGGCGCGGAGGCCGGTCCGCCGGAGGGCTGGCATCGCCGGCGACGTACGGCCCGGCGCAGGTACGCCACAAGCTTAGCTCGTAGATCTGGACTTAGGGCTAGGGCTAGGGCTAGGTCTAGCTGGGGTCCACGGGCGAAGCCGGAGAGGATGCCCATGGGGGCGGGCCGGCTGGGGAAGTGGTGGTTAGCACATCATCCTTCCCCCCCCCCCCCCCCCCCCAAACCTATGGACCACCACAAGGGCCCCCATGGCTTTTGCTGCATTCGCCATCGTCATTGACGAGTCGATCTATGATAGCCTGATGGTGATTAGGGAGGGTCTGTTTTCTTGTGTGCGAGCCTTGCTAGTTGCTCCGTCCGCTGTTTCGTGATATTTTCCAATTTTCCACCTGTGTCACCAATCAATGGAAGTAATCAATCACCACCGGTAGATAGTAGCAAAATCGCAGGTATCTCGCAATTTGGTCGAAATTGTTTATTCCAAGTGGTGGATGCTGATGAATTAAGTATATATGGGGTTGAAAGCAACAACTACATTTGCAGAGCTGTTTGGAATTTTCCGAGTTCCGAACCAGCGCATTACTGAGGGAGCATTGACCTCGAGAGAAGACTGTTTGATCCGAGAAGACTGTTTGATCCTCATCCTCTTCCAGCCAAATCTCTTCGTGGCATGGCGGAAGCTGCAGCTGTTTTCGCCGGGAAGGCCGTAGTGCAGCCGGCCATCACCTACCTCGTCAAAAAGATTGTCGATCGCATTCCCGACGGGGATCTGTGCAAGAGGCTGCAGCAGAAGCTGCCCTTTGTTGAAGCGATCCTCTACGCTGTTGATCGGCAGCAGACACTGAGCAATCCAAGTTTGTCTGAGGTGGTGTGGCAGCTCAGGGATGCCATCCAGGAGGCCGAAGATGCGCTCGATACACTGGAGTTCTTGGACCTCAAGAGCAGCGCCAATAATCGCAGCAAGGTGAGCTTATCATCCCTTTTGAGTAGCATCAGCAGGAAATTCCATGTTGCTGACTCCAGTAGAGCAACGGAGAATCTGAAAGATGCACTCAAGAATTTAGATGCAGTCCTTGACAATGCAGGGAGATCCCTCCCGGCCATATATCCCAGCTCGTGCTCTCATGGTAAAGCGCACATCCAAGATTCTGCCAGCATACAGGAGGTCACAAAAGAGTTGAGAACAACTATATTTGGTCGGCTCAAGGAAAAGGATGCAATAATCGATTGGCTCGGTGTTCTAACTCCAAATATTAGAGATCAAAAGCTCTCATTGTGTGCAATTGTTGGTGCTGGTGGTATGGGGAAAACAACACTTGCCCAGTTTGTCTGTCAAGATAAGAAGGTTCAAGATCATTTTGCTAACAAAATCATATGGGCAGACGTATCTAAGATCTTTGATCCTAAAGTGTTGGTGAGGAAGATCTCGGGATCATTCAACAGGTACAAAGCTAGCGCTGATGGCTTGGACACCATTATGACTGACAAATTTCTACTGGTCTTAGACGATGCACGGGATGATGCACAAAGTGAACGATGGCAACAATTTTTAGATCTAATCAGAAAAAATGCCCCAATGGGAGGTAAAATCTTGCTCACGACCCAAATAAGGCCAGTGGCTAATGCTGTTGAAGGCCAGATGCCTCCAGATACATATAAATGTTTGGAGCTGGGTGGTTTAGATCAAGAGAACACTCTGAAGCTCTTCAATCATCATGCGTTTGGTGACTTGAGTCCCAGTGACTGCTTCGAGCTTCAATTGATTGGTGAACAGATTGCCAGAAAACTCAAAGGATGCCCTTTGTTAGCAAGAACAATTGGCCGGCATCTACAAGGAAACACAGATCATGCCAGATGGAACACCATCTTAAATCACGATATCCACAAAGTTGATGATGTTGCCACTGAAATCAAGAAAGTTCTCAGACTGAGTTACGAAAGCCTGAGTAATGAAGTGCAGGTTTGCTTCCGGTACTGCAGCATATTTCCACCTCATTACAAGTTCAAGATGGAAGAGATGGTTGAGATGTGGGTGAGTTCAGGACTGATATTGCAAAGAGAGGATGGCATAAATAACCGGGAAGATATTGCTATACAGTACTTCAATACTCTAGGGAAAAATCATTCTTTTCACTTGTACCCAGAGAACTGAATGTTGATACTTCTGAAGATTACTATGTCTTGCATGATGGAATGCATGAATTTTCATGCACTGTCTCCATTGGGGAATGTTCAAGATTAAAAGCCACTGACCATGGAATTGGCATACCTCTAACAGTGCGACACTTGTACGTAGAAGGCATAAATGCTGAAACTATAAATGTTATTTCCAAGTTCAAGTACCTGCGCACTCTTGTCGTAGAAAATAAGGAAAATTCCATCCAGGAAGAACATGCAAATGCTCTTAAAAATTCAATCGAAGGCAGGACAAGCTTGTGACTCTTAAAGCTATACGGAAATGGTTGGTTTTGTATGAACGACACTATTGCTGGGCTTGAGCACTTGAGGTACATCTATCTGTCAGCTACCAAGGAATCTAATCTAAGTAAATTATTTAAGCTCTGTCACCTGGAGGTCCTTCAGATCCTAAAGATTGAGAAAGAAAATGAAAGTAGATCTATAAGTATTAATCTACCTCACTTGCAGAAACTGCATCTTCCTAAAACTACAGTGTCCAGGATCGCTCAGATTGGTAGCCTGACTACTCTTCGAGAGTTGAATGGGTTCAGTGTGAAAAGAACAGATGGCCACAAAATAACTGAGCTGAAGGATTTAAGGAAGCTCCAAAAAGTCATTGTGCTTGATGTCCAAAATGTTATTGATCACACTGAAGCATCTGATGCTGAACTGGATAAGAAATCGGATCTGAAGGTATTGTCTTTGGAATGGTGTGCTGATCAAGCTAGTTGTGATGGTAGGATCCTTAATAAGCTTGTTCCTGACAGTAATCTCAAGCATTTAGTTATTTCTGGATATAACGGCACACGACCTCCATTGTGGATGGAATCTAAGTATTTTTCCAATTTGGTATATCTGAAGCTTGATGGATGTGTGGAATGGGATAAACTTCCTCCATTTGGATATCTATGGACACTAAAGCATCTGTTTTTGAAGAACCTACCGAAATTGGAATATATTGCTAGTTCATCCTACAGCACTGTTGTGTATGGATACAGAGACACCAGTCCTGATGTTCTGCCTCCTCATCTGATCACTTTTGTTGTGAAGAATTGCCTGGGCCTGTCAGAGCTACCCAGTTTACCTTTTAGTCTGAGGTATTTGGACATAGATAGAGTTGGAATGTCAAGTCTGCCAACCATGTGTACTCATATGGGGCGAAGACGTGTTTCTTTGGTGGAGTCACAGCTCTCTATTTTGAATGTTGAGTCTTGCAATCTTCTGGTTTCTCTAAATGGGTTCTTACAAGAGGAACATTGCAGAGTTCTCACTGTCTTAAGCCTGGTCTGTTGCCACATGTTGATCTCCCTTCCTGATGCATCAGATTTCAAAAGGATGTCTAAATTGGAGAGCATTAGAATCATTGAATGTAACAGGTTGTCTTCCTTGGGTGGACTAGAAGCCCTTTCTCATCTTAAAATACTGAGGATAGAGCATTGTGCCAACTTGGTTACTACGTCATCAAGGCTTCCTCCAGCATCAGATGAAAGTACTTATCTTAAGCTTGAAACACTTGAAATTGATGACCATCAGTTACTTGCTATAAGCCCAATAAGAAATCTGTGCCTTACGAAAAAACTTATCATATTAGAGAGAGAAAAAATGGCTGAGTTGCCTTTAGAATGGCTGTTACAGAATAGATCTCACCTAGAGCATATAGAAATAAGCAACGCGGAACTGTTGAAGTCTTTGCCTAATATGCATGAATGGCACACTCTACGAAGCATGCTTCTGCATAACACTCCACTTCTTCAGTCGCTCCCACTGATGCCCCCAAACCTGTGGGTCCTTGACATCAACGGCTGTTGCAATGAGTTGCATGGGGAATGCCAGTCTGGTGGTTCTGAGTGGTCAAAGATTTGTCGGATCCATAGTTGTAACATTACCCCCAAAATATGATAGATATGCAATATTTTCATGCCAACTTTTGTATTCTTGGATAGTTTTTCCTTTTTACTCTTTTACCATAGAATCTCTTAATCATGCCCTTTTTTGGCACAATTTCAAATATTGACTATACTTTGTTTTAGAGGGAAGTTCCTTTAGAGATGTTCGATTTGACGGACAGTAAGCCAAGCAATCACTCTCCTTGGGCAATGTTTGATCTTTCCAAACCGTTTCACCCTGTTCTCTTGGGCTCTTAGAAATGTATAGTATTATTATTCAGCATGTGCTAGCCATCATATTTGTTATGGTACCTACTTCAACTGCAGCATATATGTAAAACAGTTCTCTATAATTTATTTAGATGCTTTCTGTATATATATCAAGCGAACTGTTTATTACATATGCTTTCTCAGTTTCTGTAAAATTATTATGAATTTACAGTCGGATTTTTAATACATATTAATCTGTCAGCATGAAGAAATTTGGAAGACTCGTGCCTCTACAAGATTTGATGTTTCCAGTCTACTCTTATCTTTGCTACATCTGGAATATGAATTTATATTCAGCTTTTTAAGCCATATCTCTTCCTGTACCCCTTGTTTGGATGTGTGCATGCATTGCGTACTACTGCCCGCTTGCTGGTGAATACTTGCTAGGAACGTTCTCATCTCGATCTATTTGTAATTAATACATGTGTCTTTGTCATCATTTATGTTGAGATCAGTTGTACCTTGTTTCATCAGCTCATCACATTTAATTATTTGACAATTTTAAGATGTGCCAATTAATGATTTGTCACTCGCTGTCTATGACATGTGATCCCTCATGTGTCTATGACATGTGGGCCCAGTGGTAAATCATTTAGAACCACTCGCAAGAGTGGCAAAAAGTTAATTATTCCCATCATTGGCAATCAAAATTATTTACACAAGGAGAGTGTTTATAATATGATTCTAGGATACAATGGCAGAAAGTAGAGTGAGACATCAGAAGACAACATTGTGGCCAGATGGATAGGTGGTGACTGGTGAGGTTGTGTACCTTGCTACTTAGCAAGGTTCAAAATCCTAGATTGGGCACTATTGTCAATCAATTTTAAGAGTAAACTTACTTTGGGTGTCCAGGTTATGTACACGTACTCATACTCTACTCATGCTCATCATCAGCCAATTACTAGCCTAAACCCTCTGTTTTTCTCCTTTTTTTGAATTTTTTTTTTGGCTATCTCGTTGCTTTATACATCGCTCCTTTATGCCCTCGGCTCCTCGCGCGCGCGCAGGTGACCGCTTGTACATGGTGCGCCAATCAATCCAAAATTTGGGCGCTGTGGGGGTGTGCATGCGCGCCAGTCTCCACTGCGGGTTGGAACCGGTTTCATTAATAGGCTATTTTGCAAAAAAAAAAAGTCCTTGAGTTTTCACGAAATATCGCATACGTCCTTGTACCTGTTCCCACTCCGTTTTGTTTGTTCTGGAAAAGCCCTCCTATTTCATAGAAATGCAATGCGAAAAAGAGAAAATTCCGCTTTTAGGGGTAGTGTTGTAAACATAAAAAACGAAGGGGCTTTTCCGAAAAACAACCGCATCTACCCCTAAACCCTAGCCACGGATTGTTCCCTACCTCCCCACTGCGTGGCCATCGCCCCACCCACGCCTCGCGCCCTGCGGTCAGTGCTGGTGCCGGCACAGGACTCCCCCAGTCGCCTTCGTTGTCGCCCGCCCTCCACTCGTCACCACCGACGTCGTCCGTCCTCTCCCTGTTCTCCGTTGCCCATCCTTGTGTCGCCACTGCTCCACCTCCATACCCCGCATCGTTGGGAAGGGGAGAGTGTAGGGGCAAGGACGGCGGCGCACAGATCCGCCGCCCCCCATCCTCGGAAGCGACGGCGGCGTGCGGATCCGGCAGCCTCTGTCCTCTGGAGCGGTCAGGTGCGGGTGGGAAGGACGGCGGCGTGCGGATCCATCGCCTCCCGTCCTCGGGAGCAACAGCGCGGCGGCGCATAGATCCAGTTGCCTCCGTCACCGGGAACGGCCTGGCGGGAGCAGGAGCGCCGGCAGCTCGCGGATCTGCCTGCTTCCACCCTCAGGAGCGGCAGCGGCGGGCTTATGCAAGCGGGAGTGGGAGCGCCGGTAGCACGCCGATCCGCCCGCCTTCGCCCTCGAGACTGGCGGCGGTGGGCTTAGCAAGGTTCAAAATAATTGTCACATGTTTCTCCTTGCATAATTTTGTGTTGAATACGATGATTCCTAATTAGCCAACTTATCCTATCTTCCTATATATAGTTGGTACTTACTAAGATATATTTACTCCTATAAAGAAAAACATGTAAGAAGCCACATCATCAACGATTTTAAGCCACAGATCACATTAGTATAGAGTTATCAGCAGTTGGATCAAGAAGCTACTCATCCATTAATTTTTGATTACTCATCCATTCACCTCCTTTAGCTTATAATCATGCGTAACATTATTATCCATTCTGCACCTAACACTATGTTTTTTCTCTCTCAGGTCCTCAAAGATAATGCTAACTTATCTTTTTTTTTCATGGATACAACTCCAATTATTGCATAAGATGTAAGTTTTATTTTGTTATAAATAATTAGATAACATACAATAATTAGGTATTATTAAACTAAACCCATTTTCGAAATAAGATTGAGATGAAGCAGAGAAGTGCATGCTATCTAATTATGACAATATGCAAATCACGCATGAAAATAATTCTCATATATCCAACACAAAATGATGTTTTAAAAAAATAAAACATGAATTGTATTGTACTAACAGAGGCTATACATGAAGCCACATTATCATCTATGTTGTATATATATAGAGTTGCATCTAATCATTTTAAACATTGATTTTATTTGACGATAAAACTAGCAAATCCCGTGGCAAGGAGCGGGGTGCCAACTAGTTTATATCTATGACCTTGTACGGACGGCTAGACATACTGCTTAATTATTGCAGTTAATTAGTGCCTTATGTTGTACTAGTAATAAATAGTGTTATTATCCAAATGTTTTTTTGGCTAATGCTAAAATCCAATGCTACCAACTAGGAGCTACAACCACCCAGCCACAGAAGACCACTCAACAAGCAATTTAAATAAATCTAATGAAATTCCTTTGGTTGAAATGCAAAGGCAAGTTTGGATGATCAGACAAAACATATTCCTTACCATTAAGATTGACAACGTATCACGGTATGGATAAAACGTTGGATTGTTTAGAAAGGTTTTAGTTCTAGAAGAAGCTACGGAAATAAGAAGCTCCCCCTCTAAGGAGTGGGGTGGATAGATGCGACCTAGGCTTGACCTCGGGGGTTGTTCAAGGCGGCCCGCCATCGGTGTCGAGGTGGGGAGGGAGGCCATCCTAGGCATTTGAAGAGCCCTTGCGAATCCTATTTTACTATAGAGTTGATGTCCACTAACTTCTAAAGCTCAACATATAAGATATACCACATCATCATCCACTAGCAATTATTATCTAAAGAAATTTAAATATCATACAAACATGGCATACTATTATTTACAATTTCGTTGTGTTTTTATAACTCAATATACAAGCAATGTCAAACCATCATTTTCACATTATTTAAATATATACATTTACTATTTCTATAATATATAAAATGCATTCATACACATATATTGTAGCAAAGCGCGGGTATCAACTAGTTCTTTTATTCCACATCACTTTCTTCTTTTCTTGGGTTGTCTAATTCTCAGTTCCCAAAAGAAACAATCAAATTTTGAACGGCTCAAATCAATTCAACAAGAGTAAATTTCACAAAAATACAAATACTTTGACCAAAACTATCGTAAAATTAAATATTTAAGTCATTATATCGGAAAACTACATATTTAGCGCCAAATTTGTTACATAACTACATATTTAAGACCAAAGAATTAGAAAACTACAAATTCAATAGAAAAATTATCATGAAACTATATAGGTTTTAGGACCAGTTTAATCACAAAACTATCACGTTTACAGCCCCAATATAACAATAGTGTTAGGGTTTAAACTCTAAAATATGTATTTTTATGATATTTAACCTTAAATTTATAGTTTTGTAATAGTTTGGTCAAAATATATGTAGTTTTGTAAAATTTACTCATTCAATATAAAACATATCTTTTTTTGTCCACACCCACATCCATCGCCTCTCGTTATCTCTACACAATCGCGAACATGGAGCCACTACCTCCCAGCCCCTGTTGTAGTGCGTTGCCCCCTGGCCTCGTCAACTAGCCGAAAGAGGCAAACAGCGTAGCGAGGTCCGCCCAATAGGTCTCCTCCCTCCTTATAATGTGCTTCTCTAAGTCTGATGATATGAAACCCTTGCCCCGCTTTCTAACCACTCGTTGGTTTCACTCCTACCGCCAGCCCTGCACATTGCCGGTCTCCAGCTCCATGGCTCCAGCGGTGCCTCCAGCCCTCCACTGCTTCGCCGCTGCCCAAGCCATCCCTCTAGGCCTGTGGAAAACCCTCATCTTCCCCTCCCACCAAAACCCTCCTCTTTCCCTCCTTACGACCGTCCTCCCACCCTAACCCTAAACTCTAAATCTTGTGTTGCAATCGTCCTTATTGGGCAATTGCTAAAGACATCGCCATGATAAAACCAAATTTTAAATAAATCTAAATTAACTTTTATGAAATTAGTACATTGTTTTCATCAAAATTTGAACCCAATAAATAAATAATTTTGGTTCATAATTTCTAATAAAACTCTTATATAGATTTTGTCAAAAAATAAATTTGTTCAACACTTTAAATTTTTCTTTTCGAATAATTATGCTCCATTTGATTTTATCATGAATAACTAAGGAGCGTATCCTATACACACAGGCCCTCGCGTGTACACACCGTGTACACCAACTAAAAATTATCACAAAAAATTCTAGAAAAATTCATACATGTACTTTCAATAGTATTACATCTACGTGCAAAGTCGCATCTTCAAATTCATTCTACATAGATAATAACAAAAAAGATAAAATTCTGACAAAATTGCAACCTTAAAACTGTCAGATTTTTTGTTTTTTTGTTACGGCTAAAATATAATGAATTTGACGTTAAGATTTTAACCCTAGGTGTAATACAATTGAAAGTATGTGTATGATTTTTTTATAAATTTTTTGGTGACATTTTTAGTTGGTGTGCACGTGAGTACACGTGAGGGCCTATGTGCATAGGATATGTTGCCGAATAACTATTTTTCACATTGTGAATTATGAAGTAGATAGCATTTAAATATGAGAAATAGGCGATATGGTCATTTTAGAAAAATCTAACAATTAATTCATTGTCAACTAATGGAATAGGGATAGAGGAGATCTAAATGAAAACTCAAGACGATGTAAGGAATGATGCAAAATTTAGGGGTATAGAAAAGATTGTGAAATTTTTCAGGGGTATTTAGGAAATTTTCTCCCAAAAGATTCCAGCCATGGCATGTTTTTTATATCTATCAGTAAATTACACAAATTTTGAGTGCTGTGTAACAAATTTTGCAAAAGTAAAAGTCAAAGAGTCTAACAAAATAAGAAAATAGGTTGAAAGTGCTGTAGAAGATAGAGGAATTGCCGGAGTTAGGTGGGAAATCACGTGAGTTCTGCCAATTCGGTGGCAAATTCATCCAGATCAATCCCCGTCTCCGGATCGAGAGAAAAGAAGAGGAACGGCGACGCGCGTGTACAGCCTCGCGCCGCCTCGCCTCGCCTCGCCTCGCCGGGGCCCACTCCGCCGCCTCTCCGGGAGCCGCAGCCCGCAGTTCGCCACCACCACGGTCCACGGTGCGCGCCCGCCGGGAGCACCAGCCGTCGGCGCCGGAATCGATCCCCCGTGCTGCCGCCTCCTGTGCGGGGACCCGAGCCAATGCCTCGCTTCGTCGCCTGCGGCTTCTGCGACCTCTTCGGGAGTACACATATGGATTTGAAGCACTGAAATCTTTTCTGTTTTTGTTGTTTCGCTGATAGTAGTTCTTGTCTTGTGGTGCGATCCGGTTTGTCTTCCTCCACACCACAAGATATTGCACTTATCGTTGGAAAACAGTGCGAAGAAAAGGAGGAAGAATTGGATCCGGTAGTAATGGAAGAAGCACTGGACTGGTCTTTCTGCGAACCCTTGCTGACAGTTGCCATATCTTTGATGGACAGAGCTTTATTCTACTTTGGTGGTGTCAAGGAGAAGGAGAAGGGGAGCAAGAAAAGATTTGGTGGTGTCGACAAGGAGAAGATATTGGAACGACTCGGACATGTTCGAGCAATATTCGATGAGTTCCGTCATCTGGTTCTGACCAATCTGAAAATTCCGTTCAGCTACAATCTTAAAGAAATCTGGAGTTTCAGGATTGACATTGAGGGGTTCGAGCACTGGATCGAGGAGATCGAATACCGTGGGCTGGTGGGACAGGGTCGCCACCCGACCTTCAATATTCTCAAGGCAAAGATCACCAACAAGTTTGCGAAATCTCCTGATTCGTATGCCATACGGGAAGGGCTGGATCACCTGATGAGGTTAGCGGATATTGCAGCACGAATACGGTATTTACGATTTGAGATCTCTGTATCCTCCAGCAGAACAACCACTCCGGTGGCAGTTGGCCGAGGGAGGGAGAAGGAAGATATAGAGGTGGTTAGCCGAGGGAGAGAGAAGGAAGAGATACAGCTCTTTGGCCGAGAGAGGGAGAAGGAGCAGATAGTGCAGTGGTTGATCAAGCAACCAGCTGAAAACTCTGAGTCTGAGATCTTCAGCACTGATCATATCCGGCTTTTTGCAATTCTGGGTGTGGCTGGCATGGGGAAAACTGCACTTGCCAAGGTAGCTTGCCAAGAACCCATTGTGTCAACCATTTTCGACTTTGTTGTGTGGGTTCAAGTGCCTTATGATTTCACTACAGAGACAATAGCAAAAATCATAATGGAAACTGTTACCAGTGTGTCGCCTGAATACTATAGTTTAAAGTTTCTGCAGCACGCTCTTACGGGCAAAAGGCTTTTGCTTGTTCTGGATGATACCTGGGAAGACGAAAGTGTGAAGAAGTGGGAAGCACTGGTGGCTACTCTCAGTAACTGTAAGAGAGGGAGCAGTATCCTGCTGACAACTCGAATGCAATCAGTGGTTGATATGGCAGCAGAAGCTGTAGGGTCTCCAGCTGAATGTCTGGAACTGGATGAATTGGGCAAAAGTGACAATCTCTTGTTGTTCATGAGTCGGTTGCCTTCTCAAGTGCATTCTGAAGGTTATTATCATCTTCGGTTGATCGGTGAACAGATAGCCGAAAATACTGGAGGATGCCCACTTGTAACAGAAAAGGTCGCTTCATGGTTGGGATCATGTGTGGAGAACCATCATTGGAATGCCGTCCTACAGAAAGGCTGGCAGAAACTGGGACTTAATGCCATTTTTGCAAGTTCTAGGTTGAGCTATGAACGTCTACCTTCAGAACTGCAAATTTGCTTTAGATACTTTAGTATATTTCCAAAGGGATACAAATTTAACAAGGTGGAATTAGCAAACATGTGGATTAGTTCTGGATTGATACCTTTTGGCTTATCGAAACAAGATGATACTGGCTTACAGCATAAGAAGGCTGCCTACCTGTTTAGTGCAGAGGATGTTGGGGAACAATACTTTGCTGCATTAGTAAGGAAATCGTTCTTTTGCCGTTTGCTGGAAACAGACCCTTCTAATGGAAATATGAAAGAATATTATGTCCTGCATAATTTGATGCATGACTGTGCACAGTTTGTTGCACGAAATGAATGCGCAAGAGTAGATGACAATAATTTTCAAGATGTCAGGCGGACAACAGTACACTTGTCTATTGCACATTGTGGCTCTTTAAGAGCAATCCCCCCTATAACAAATTTACGTACTCTTATTATACAAAGTGAATTTTGTCTTGATCAAGAGGCTGAACTTATGCTTGGAGAAGTTCTTCGTAAATCGGCACGCTTGCGTCTGCTATACTTGGATGTGCCATCCCTCTCTAATGCACTTGATGAAATCCCCAGTCTAACACAGCTCCGTTACCTCTTCCTGTTTTCATGTGATAAGTCTCATATTCGAAGTATCCTTAAACTCTGTCATCTGCAAGTGTTCAAGCTCAAATATTTCACAGGTAAACAAGCAGACTTGGATGGCATACGGAACATGCGTTTCTTGCGTTGTCTTCATGTTCCTGACAGTATGTTATCAAAGATACTTAAAACTGGGATGCCAACAACACTTCAGGAGTTACAAGAATTCGAGGTAGCTAAAAATGATGGTCACATGTTGAGTGCATTGAGTACTTTAACAAACCTTAAGCGACTCAGCCTAAGAAACCTCCAAAATGTCAGGAACTGTAAAGACGCAATGGAGATCAAATTAAAGGACAAACCAGACATGATGTTTTTGTCACTATCATGGAACAAACACTCAAATGATCCAGAGGATATAGATCATCAAATCATCGATAACCTAGAACCAAACAAAGGAATTCAGCAGTTGCATGTGTATGGATACAATGGAGTCCAACTTCCGGTTTGGATCGAGACTTCATTTCTCATCCATTTGGTGTCACTTGAGCTTCAATACTGCATGGAATGGAGGACCCTGCCATCATTTAAGGAGCTTAGTTCACTGAAGTATCTAAAGCTGGAACACCTTTTCCAATTAGGCTCGGTGATTGAGGAGCAATCTGGGAGCATAGAATCAGATAATGCATTTCTGCCCCCATTGCTCAATACGCTGATCGTCCGGTGGTGCCCTAACCTGAAGAAACTCCCTGCTTTACCTTGTACCCTTGAGAAATTAATAATAAGGCATGTTGGGCTTGCAGTTCTCCCTAGATTACATCAGGCATATGCTAGCACATGTGAATCATTATCAGTAGATTCGCGTCTTTCTCTTTTGCACATTGAAAGTTGTGCACATTTGACTTCTTTGGATGGTCTCCTAGATCAACAGCAACATCTTCAGCACCTCAAGACATTACTCGTGAGACATTGTGCAAAACTATGCCATCTACCGGCAAATGGTTTCACAGAATTACATCACTTGAATTTCCTAGAAATAGTTGCATGCCCAATGCTGAGGAATGTTAAGACTGACAGCAATCTGTTCCCTACATCACTCAATAACTTGGATATCAATCCATGCTGTCATATTGAGGCTTCAGTTCTCATGTCACTGCCAAACCTCACCTATCTCAGAAGGTTATCATTGGTCAGTTGCAGTAGTGTAGAAAAACTTCCATCAGATGAAGTGTTTAGGACACTGAAAAATCTCAATGATATGTTGATAGCCAGATGTGAAAGCTTGTTATCACTCGGTGGGCTTGGAGCTGCTGCCTCCCTGAGAACTCTATCAATCCTGTACTGTGACAAAATCTATTCTTCATCATCTCCACAGGCTGGCTGCTCCTTTATGCTATGGAAGCTCAAAGTTGATCGTGAAGCCATGTTGCTGGTGGAGCCAATAAAGAGCCTCAGGTACACCTTGGAGCTGCATATTGGTGATGATTATGCAATGGATTCCTTGCCAGAGGAGTGGTTGCTTCAGAATGCTTCTTCACTCCGTTTGATCGAGATAGGAGTTGCTAAGAATCTGCAGACCCTACCTACTCAGATGGAAAAGTTGGTATCACTACAGAGTTTGCATATCGAAAAAGCCCCTCGAATTCAGTTTCTCCCCAAGCTGCCATTTTCACTTAATAAGCTCACAATCTGGGGCTGTGACCCAAGGTTTCTGAAGCTCTATGAAAGGAATGTTGGTTCAGACTGGGGAAAAATTGAAAACATTGATCATGTGGATATGAAAGCCTACTCTGAAGGTGCACTTTCTTTCTATTCTGAACTTTTATCTTTTCCATGCAACAACCAACTTTATGTTATTGTGTCTTTGATCAATTAGATATTTATTATTCACTCACCTCCAAGCATTATGATTTGCACTCAATGCTGAGGGCGCGCTTACACATCCTGAATTCATCCTCTGTTAAAATCCCACTTGTCCTGTTCCTACCTCTGCTACTCGACAAGATGCTGTAACACTTAGCAATTTCGTACAATTGTTTTATTGTCCTGACCTTCTATATGAAACCAACTATCCTCAATTATTACCGTTAAAGGATTATGGTACAAAATAAGGTTACTCTTTTTTTTTTTACAGACATACAGTTGCTTGTTCAGAAACTCTGTTTGTCTCCTGTAACATGAGAACTTTTGTTTTGACCTTACTGGCATTCTAGAAAGAATGATCTATCTTCCATGTCTACAGTGAACATTCAGCTCATAAAATGTCTTTTCTGGAGCATTTTAGATGCTTCTGCTGCATATAGCTGTTAATACTTTACACTCTTTGCATATCCTTATGTACGAATTTATATGCAGAAACAAGCGATGATGATGATGATAAGATTCAGCATTTCGATGACAGCATCAGCTATCCTTCCAGCCAATTTATTGTCATAGACTAAATACCTGTGCAGCATGTGGAGACATTTGTCTAAGACTAAGAAATGGCTGAGCATTTGGATATGATTCAAATCTTGCTCCTGGTAAAGTGCAATGCCAGAATGAGGTCTTACAGACTCACTTTACGTTCTGTGGTAGCACTGAATGATATGAACTTCATAGGTAATGCTCTCATACCAAATATTTTACTCTTTCTTCAAACCCTAAATATTTTACTTTTAAATTTGGCATGCAATTCCGGTCACGTGGCAGATCAAGGAAAATTCTTACTTGATTCTTGCAATATAGAAGACAAAATATTTCATAAAAAGGCTAGTGCAAAACTGCAAAGCAATACTGAGAAGTCTGAGATGCGTCTTTTGCTGCCTTTTTTGCACAAACCAAATGGATCATACACTCTGAAGTTTTTGCATCTTTATCTTGTCTGAAATTTCAGAACCACAATGCATTACTTATATAGTACATAATCATACGCAAAAGACAAACACGAAACATATACAAGCAAAGGCATCACTCCTTTGCACCTAGTCCACTAGAATGGTTCCATCCCAAAGCATCCAGTTTTTTCTTTTTGGCCATGTTTGATTTTTTTTTTCAGCAATAGACCATGTGTGAAGTGTGAATTGTGATTGTTGATTTGTTGAATTCGAACTGATCATAGCTAGATTGGCATGCAGACCCGGATTCCAGGGAGGGTCCAAACTCCAGACGATACAGCATGCAGTTTTGCAGTGTGGTGACTAATAACCACACCAGCAGGTTCAGTATGAAGCCATGAAGAGATTGGATGGTAATCAGCTATTCATCTGCAGACTGGATCACAGGAATCTGGAGTGTGATGCCAGAAGCATACTCACTGATGATGTATATATGTGCTGATGAGTAGTTTAAGCACAAGAATTCTGCTTTACTCATGAGTCCTGACATAAGTTTTCTTATCTATTACGTAGGTGGTACATCTCTGATGGGATTACTGTGCCTAAGGCAGTTTCTGATTGTTCTGTGCATGAATGTTGTGTTGCATTTGGGTTTTAAATCAATGGAACTGGCCACTGGGTAAGGGATTTGTACTGGAATTGTAGAATTAGTCTCAATTTGTACCAAATCCATTACAATTATTTTTATATTTTTGAGAACACACAGGCTACAGGAGTATAATATAACTATATATGGCCTGACGGCCATCCTACGTACACGTGCTGCTTGAATTTTGAGTTCAAATAAATCAACGTATTCACAAATTTGAATGTGTTATGTCATGCCCTTCAGTTTGGAACCCTATTTCACTATGTTGCAACTCAAATAAATCAGTAAAATCCCGTAGCGTGTCAGATGAGCCGGACAGTGTTTGGTTGATTCAGTCACTTTATCTTCACTCAATCTTGGATTGTTTCTTCGATGATTGCGGAAGGTTATATATAATCAGCCCCATCAGCAATACCACACCGCCTAGGATGAAAGATGAACTTAACTCTGCGCCATGAGGGATGTAGGGCAACGGAAGTGAAAGTATGTAGATTGATATTGGCACTGCAATAGAAACAAACAGCAATCAGCATCCGTCATTGAGATACTGTTCTTCAGGTTGGACACAAATCAGAAGAAACAATTAGATGCAAAAGCAGGAGGGGGAGCAAAAGTTGGGGAAAAAGAAAACCTGCTGAAGTAGCAGTAAGCGAAGCAACCAGCGCAGATGACAGCTTCACCAAATTGAGCAATGCGATATTGAAGGCCATATTCACCAATATAAACAGCAATGGTAGAAATGGAGCTCCTCCACAATCTACAAGTTACAGAAAATGAGCATTATATGCTTCCATTATAAAGAATGAATAGACTTTAGGACTCCTGAACCACTAATACCAACGAAAATGTCAATTTGAAAGGCATTAAGTTGCTCACAATTCAAATAAAAATGTCAATTTGAAAGGCATTAAGTTGCTCACAATTCAAATAGCTACACATTACAGGCCCAAAGACTCATAAAGTCACTTCTTGTACTACCAACACTTCAGCTAACGTGGGGTACTTTTGGATGTGTAGATATATAAATTCCAGGCAAGAAGCATTACCAATCAGACTATCATCGACATTTAGGAAGCACTCAGCACCACCATTTAAATAAGCAGGAAGCTCAGCAAACTTTATTCCCTTCAAATTAGAAAGAAGTGGGAGAAGAAGAAAGACAAAGAGAGCCTGCAGATAAAAATATATTAAATAAAAATGTAGGGTGTGAGTTCAGACTATATATGGTCATGCAGAGGAGGAGAGAGAAAAAAATGAAAACTGCAATGGAGACAATCATTGTGTTAAATTAAAAAAATCACCTGAAATCCTGACCCAAACGAATTAACCACAAAGATATCTGGGCGCCTCCCCTGTACAGGCAGATGAATGTCATGCAGTAAGATTTCTAAACATTTGGACAGGCAGATGAATGTCAGGAGGTTATAAACCTAATTCAGGAGTTTTTGACCAATGATGAAATTATGATCAGGCACATAAATAGGAGTAAAGAGTGAGAAGAACCTTAAGACGCTTTGCACCATCAATGAAAACAGATTCCTGCAGCAGAACTTTGTATTTCAGACAAGTACAAGGAAAGCCGTAAAATGAACAGTATGAAATAATGTAAAGAGTGTAAGCAGTTGAACCTTCAGAATTGAAGCACCTGCTTGAAATGCTGATGATGCAACCATCAGTGCTAGCCAAATAAACTTGACTTCAGACAGAAATTGACCCTCATTCGCTCCACTGCAAAAGCAGAGTTTTGAGATGACCAACCAATCTTAATAACTTATAACAGTATGAAGTAACCACTTGATGTCAGAATTAGACTAAGAACAGTTTTTAGCAAAAAATCGCTATTGTGCGATGATCTCTGGTGAAAGGCACAAGTGCATGTGCAGCAACTCTTTCTCCAAACATATTTGTTGTGTGAAAATTACCAGATAAGAAATATCTCAAATGGCATACCTTGCAACAGCAAGAATCACACCAGAAGCAACAAGGAAACAACCAATGATTTGCCTCATTGAATACGTTCTTCCCAACAGCAGCGCAGAGAAGATAAGCTGCCACACCAGGAATGACTGCAGCACATATTCAGAAGAAAATTACTCCATCAGCATTGGACAGAGGTAACAAGGTTCGATACTGATAAGTGATAATCGAATAGTAAGATTGTTCTTTTTTATAGTTAAAATTGGTACTATTAGGACATTGTAGGAAATTGGTATTATTAATTAGGTTTAAACTAATAATCAAACAAGATTGTTACTGTCTATAGGTGAAGTTTATATTATTAGAACATAGCAGGATAACCAATAACCTAACCTTAGGGTGGTTCAAATAAATAGTTTTGCAGAATCCATAAATAGTATTACACTAAAACATGAATTCATCACAAAAGAAATATATAACCAAGTACTAATGTAACTTGATACAAAATAACCAAACAGAGATGAAAAACTGGTTATAATTCAAATCAACAAAAGCAAAATACCTGGGACAGTATAGGAATAGCAGGCCCAGGAAGCATAGCTGCAGATTCCAGAAACAACAACCAATTAATCAACACAAACAAACAACCACAATACCATACCGAAACTCTAATGGTCTGCAAGAACTGCAGTTGAACTGTAATTGCTACTAGAACTTTTCATAGAGTGGCCACTTCTTTGGAGATTGAAAAGAACATTACCTCCTGCAGACATGCCGGCCGCAAGCCCGAGGGCCTCCAGCAAGCCGATGGCGGCCAACCGGCGCTTCGGCAGCGCCAGCATGTCCCCCGTCACCACCCCCGCGCGGTACCTCGCGTAGAGTATCGAGAAGTACACGGCGACGTACCTACGCTCGAACCACAGCACACAAATCAGTGTCAACCCCAAAAAAAGAACACGGGTTCGCGAATTCCGTCGAACACCTCGCGCGCGCGCAAGCGCGGGGTCGGCCTTACCCGAAGGTGGTGAGCTGGGCGAGGAAGAACGGGTACTGCTTGAGCGGCACGAGCGCGAGCTTGTACAGCACGCGGTTGGCGACGGCCAGCGCCACCACTGCCGCCGACGCCGCGGCGATCGCCGGCGACGAGCTCATCGCAAAAAAAGGGTCAGTTACTCGACGCAGAGCTGGGTCTCACAACCACGCCCATGCACGAGGCCTAGAAGACGGAATCGGGAACGGAATACCACGGCGTACGGCACGGCGGCGCCGGCGGCGGCGGTGAGCGGCGGCGCGTGGGTTGCTTTCTTGCCGTGGGAGTGCGGGTTCTCTCCTCCTCCTCCCTTTGCAAGTTTGCATCCCCATGGTTTATGGTGCTTTTTCAATTTGACCCCTGGATTTTGTAGCTATTGGAAAATGGGGGGTGCCACGTGAGAATTTCTTATTTTTAGACCTTTTTATTTTCTTAATTTTAAAATTAGACCTTTTTAAAAATATTTTTAGAAACTGAACTTTTGGCCGCGTTGCAGCGTTGTTTGGCCCGCCAAACACGGTGACATGGTAAGGGTCTGACGTGGCCGAACAACACTATAAGTCAGCTATGCGTGACGTGACAGAGTTATTTGGTCACGCAAAGGATTAGACTTGAAAATATTTTTTGAAAAGATCTATTTACAGAAGGTTAAAATATAAAAAAAATCCACCACGTGAGGAAGTGGAGAATTTCCTTCGGGTATTAAACTTAAAAAGAAAATTTTCATATAAGTCCCTTTGTAGAAGGGTATTTCGAAGTCAGCCCTTTGACCTCGAAATAATGGGTTCTTGCCTTCTTGGTGTGCGTGTCCTATACTTGTATCTTCGCCTGCAGACTTTGACCCGTATCTGTGAACTAGCGTTCTGATTTTGGATAATACCAGGGGCTCAAACGGAAGCTAAAACTAGGAGAGATTTTCATTTTTTTTAAAGAAATTATTCGAGTGTAATTTACACCGAATCTGTACGACTGTACCTGTAAAGACAGATGAAAAAAGAAAGGTTAAAAAAGAAGTAGCAATAATAATTTAGTGGTTAGTGCTTGTGTGAAAACAAGGGAGCAAAGGAGAATTCCTTCCTTGGGTAACAAACCTTTGCGAAAGAAGAGTCAATAACTTTTAACTTTAAAAACTGAGTCTATAACTTGGTTGACAAGGTTGGCATACCTTGGATCATCTGTCTTTGATGGTGTCATCAGCAAAATTACATTTTGGCCTGGTTTAGTTCCCAACTTTTTCTTCAAACTTTCAACTTTTCCGTCACATTGTTCCAATTTCAATCAAACTTTCAATTTTGACGTGAACCAAACACACCCTTTGATGGCTGATCATAGATTTATAATACTTCCTTTGTTTCAGGTTATAAAATGTTTTGGTTTTAGTCAAAATCAAACTACTCTAAGTTTAACTAATTTTATAGATAAAAGTAATAATATTTTTAACCCAATACTAATATATTATGAAAATGTATTCAATTATAGATTTAATGAAACTATGCTGGTGTTGTAAATATTGTAGGATCGAATCACAAGAACTAAGCCAACCAGAGGGGGGTGAATGGTTGAGATACCCAAAAACCAAAAACTTTTAGCGGAAATAAAAGTTACCCTCGAAATCGATGGATCGCGGTCTGACCGAAGTAGTAGCGCCGGTCTGACCGTCTGATGAACGTCGATCTAACCGATGTAGATTGATCGGTTGAACCGCCGAAGTCGCCTGCCGCGCCTATCGCCGTTGCCGGTCGGACCGCCCGTATGCCGCCGGTCTGACTGCTGCGTGCCGCCGGTCTGACCGCCGGTATATCGTCGGTTAGACCGCCGAAACCTGATGAAACACAAATCGAAGAACTCTTAAAGTAGATGACGACTTTATTACTTCTCTCTGTGTTTACAAAGTGCACCAACAGCACTCCTTACAAAAATCTCGACTAAACTCGAAACCCTAACTAAACTAGCTCTCAAAGCTATACAAAAACGATACCGGGAAGCCTCATGCTCCCCCTCTATTTATACATGAGGTAGGCAGCCTAAAGCCACGAACCAAACTCATACTAAGAGTCCTAAACACCTTAGGAAACCCTCTAGTACAAGAAACAAACTTAACATAACCAATCGTACCAAATTTGGACTCCTTCCAAATTCGACTCCGCATCCCATACGCACACAATACCTCCATCGTATGCCACATGGAATCTCCATTTACCACGTGCATCAACTCTAGCCTTAGTATCCCGCATGATATCTGACCACTACGGTCATCGTCTTACCACCAAACCGACTCCCGGTCCATCACCGCAAATACTCTCCCGAGGCATCGAGTCACCTACACATGAAACAAACAAAGAAACCATATTCCGAGACCAAGCTATCTCCAACTTGACTCATTAGTAGCAAACAACAGTATTATATACGTATAGTATCCATCTAGAAGCCATAACCATGAAACAATCATGGATATCCAAAGGAACAACCCGAAACCGAAACCGACACAGCGTCAGCCGGTCAGACCGCGTGATCACCGCCGGTCTGACCGGCATACACCACCTGGTCGGACCGGTCACATAAAATCACAGCGAATCCGATCATCACCTGAAAATTGATTATCTCCAAAACCACTTCGACGATAATCTCCAAATATCAAAACCAATAATTACATATGCCAATTGTTCATCACAGAATCAAAATCAAAACACACGTTGATCTTACAAATATTACTACTTTTTTCTATAGAATTAGTCAAACTACTCTTTTGACCAATATTAAAATGTCTTGTAACATGAAACGGAGGGAGTACATGGACAGGAATGTACAAACTAATTAATCTTTGATTTAAAAACTGAGAGATCATATTTATAACCGTGGCGAAGACCCAATTTATTCCATTTATTCATGTACAGGCACCGCCGATCCCAATCGATTATTGGTAATTACCCAAGTGTTATTTGCTTACTACTACAAATTACATCTCACGCCCAATCAATCCGGCCTCTGTTTTTACATAATCAAATCATCACCTCTTTAACCCACTAAAAACACACTACTCCCCTCTTTTTACACAGCTACATATATTTATTTTGGGACGAAAATTTAAACTACATAGCTACACTTATTTTAAACGGAAGAAGCACGGATTGTCTAATCCCATGCATATCTCATCCTTTTTTCCATCAAGTTGGAATGGCAGTTATTTTTACAGACAACAATTGTGTCCAAACCACCACCAGTGAGCTCAGTTAAAATTCTCATTTTCTTTGGTAAAATGAATCCACTTCACACTCTCGGTGTCATGGCGAGATGACGTCAGCATTTGACAGCGTCCCGCCACTTGAGGTACTCGAGGGCGCCGAGGTAGTGGGCGTAGGCGCCGGCGACGACGAGGAGGTGGAACAGCTGGTGGCTGTGCCCGACGAGGTCGAACCGCCCGGGGAACCACCGCTCGGGCACACGCGCGGCGTACACGGCAACGCCGAGCGCGTAGAGCGCGCCCATGGCGGCCTCGCACCGCGCCGACGTCGCCGCCTCCCGCACCGTGCCGCCGTAGAGCACCATCTTGTGCGCGACGGGGACGACGCCCGACGCGGCCAGCCCGGAGAAGAGCGCGGCGCGGAGCGGGCGCAGCCTGGGGGACTGGAACGCCGGCACCAGCGATGCCGTCACGGTGGCGGCGCCGGCGCAGGCGATGGCGGCCGTGTAGGCGCGGCGGAGCCAGGGGTCGCAGAGGAAAGAATAGTGGACGATGGGGAGGAAGGAGGCGACGATGAGCGCGGCGATGCCGGCGTAGTCGAGGCGGAGGGTGACGTAGTTGGCGCGCTCCGAGTGGCACAGGAGGAGGTGGCACGCCGTGCTTGCCAGCAGGCACGCCATCGCGCCGCCCAGGTAGGCGAACACCGGCCACCGTGTGATCGGCTCGGCGATGGCGGCGGCGGTGGCGGCAGTGACCTTGCCGGCGTCCTGCAATGACAAGAGGGCGGGTTAGGTTTCTTGCCGGATTAAGTACGGTGCATCGAGCCACCGACGAAATTAAAGGTTGTGTTTGATTATGAAGGTTGGGAATATTTTTCTCAGGCACAGAAATGGAGCAACTTATTAACGCGTGATTAATTAAACATCAGCTTAAAAAATAAAAAAAAAGATTAGTGTGATTTTTTAAAGCAACTTTTCTATAGAAATTTTTAAGTAGTTTGGAAGTATGCGCGTGAAAAACGAAATAGGAGAGGTTAGGAAGAGTCACTACCGAACTCAAAGTTTGCGTAATGTACCGAACATTAGATGGTAAAGTAAAATAGTGAAATTCAGTTATCGTATAAGTTTATAAATCAAAACATATAGGATAAATTAATACTCTCTCTATCCCAAAATATAAGGGATTTTAGGTGATATTTTGGAACGGAGGGAGTACGTAGTTCGTATCTGCTATCTTATCAAATTGATTAATTTATTCACCGAGAATAAGAGGACCATAATCAACGTTGACACTAGCTAATCAATCTGTTGGCAAGAATCAAAACTATTCCACTACTCAAAACTACCTTTTCGAGATAATTCATTATGATTAGCACAACATGACAAGATATATAACCAAAACCAAATCAAGCCATGCACTTATTGTACTGCGCCGAAAAAAAAGTAAAATATGGACAAATCATGTACAAATCGAGCTTATTAAGAGGAACTATAGCTAGCTTTGTAAGCATAACTGCATAAGGACTGATCGTATAAATGCAACACATGCAGTGGTAGTACACCATCACAACATTTAAAGCTGCCAACTAACTAAAAATTAATTAGGACATGTAACCACCAACCTGAGATCGGTCAGTGCTCTGACAGGCCATGTCAACCAGAACAACACAAGAACCACATGACACACATGACATTGGTAGCTACCTCTATACTACTAAGACCAAGACTAAGACAAATTACAAAACAGATGTACTTTCCACAGTTTCAAATTATTTCTCGTATTTGTTTTATCATGAAACAAATATTTTAATCTTTAACCACCATATTTTTATAAAATCATAGTATAGCTTAACATTATAAGATTTATATTTTTAGATTCACCAAAAAATACTTTCATAATATATAATTCAGATATCGTTAAACTACACTAATTTCTAGAAACTAATGGTTAAAAAGAAACTAATGGCTGCGTTTGATCCTTTGCAAAAGAGAGATATTTTTAGTGCATGTAAAACGAGAAAGCTCATTAACACATGATTAATTAAGTATTAATAATTATAAATTGAAAATGGATGCATTTGAATGTTTTAAACAACTTCTATATAGAATTTTTTTTAAAAAAAACGTAGTATTATTTTATAGTTTGAAAAGTGCTAACAGAAAATGTGGAAGTTGAAGAAAAGAACTAGGCCTTAGAACAAACCTAGACCGACAAGTAATTCGAAACGGTGGAGTAGAGAAAATCAATAGGCAAACAGATAGTAGTAATTAAGTAGCATAGTACCTGGATGGCATGTTGCCGCACATTGTGGAGGTGAGAGAAGGAGGAGGAGGAGGTGTAACAGGAGGATGTGTTGGTTGGACAGCTGGTTGAGATCTGCTCATGTTGAGACAAATCTGCTGGATCATGCAGCAGGAGACAGGCTGCTGCTGCAAGTGCCTCATGCCTCAGCACCCTTGTCATGTTGCTCATCACCATCAGATCTCCATGGATGTAGTAGTAGTCCATAGCTGTTGCATTGCTCCTGCTTCTGCTGCTGTTGCTGTGAAGATTGTCACCACTTGGGATCACCATTGCTGTGAATATTGCCAGGCAGAGGAACAGCAAGAACCCTATCAAGTGCCTGCAGAGTAAATAGTATCAGGTTCAGCAAATTGTGCTGACAAAAGTGATGTTAATGAACAGTAATATCTTTTACAGTTTTTGGAGTCGTGGTATCTCTCGGTACCTCTCAAGAACTGTAAAATGCTCCAATTTTTACGCTCCGAAAAGAAAATTATTAGAACTGGAGGAAAGGGCTTACGTCCAGACGTTGAGGGTCTCGTTGTGGATAGAGAAGATGCTAAGGATGGTCTCCTTCATCGGCCACTCGCACCGGTAGTAGCCATGGATGAACTCGTTGTCCTTGAGCCATTCGGGCAGCTCCTCATAGCCCACTAGCTCGCACTTCTTGGTCTTCGTCTTCATCTTCTTCGCCTTGTCGTCGTTGGCACCGCATTTGCATGTGCCACACGAAGAGGTGGTAGGAGAAGCCATTGTTTCCTCCTCCTCCAAGCTCATCATCTCCATGCTCTTTCAGCTCTTGGACACGACAATGTATCCAAGGCTGGTTTCAGGTAATTCAGACAGCCAAGGAGAAGAAGAAGACGACCTTTCTTGCACACAACAATGCGAGGAGGCAGCTACGATGTGATGCACCACAAGACAAGGAAACAAGCAGGAGAAGAAAACCAAGAAATGCTGACAATGGTGGTGGTTAGCTCTGCATTCTGCAAAGCTAGAGAGAGAAGATGACTAGTGTTGTGTGCTGTGTTCTTGGAGAGAAGTAGACACCTCTGCTTCTCTATATATAAACCACTCTCACTCTCTCTCTCTATGAAGGCTGTGTTTAGTTCACACTAAAATTGAAAGTTTGGTTGAAATTCGAACGATGTCACGGAAAAGTTGAAAGTTTATGTGTGTAGAAAAGTTGGAAGTTTGAAGAATAACTTTGGAACTAAACACGGCCGGAAAATGCTGCTCCCTTTGTGCAAGAGTTGCAGGCAATTGGGATCAAAGAGGCTATATTCTAATAATATTCGAGTTTCAGATAGTTGATTCCCTACACAATGATGCGAAGATTCCAATGGCTTGTGGCATAGTAGTTGTGGGTTGATGACTTGATGTGATAGAGAGAGGAGGGTTAGCTAGTGGTTGATATTGCTTTGCCCCATGTGTGTTTAAGGGAGTGAAGGATCTGTCCCATGTGTGCATTTTTTTGGGGTGTTCTTGGTAGAGAAATGGTAATTAAATTATGCAAGTTAGGGGGTGAAATTTTCTTGTAGAATTTGTTTTGCATGGAGTAGTGAACATTGGTACAATAAGTGGTTTCTTCCAAGAAATCAAACAAAAATCAGATCACCTTCGAATTCTCATCTTCTTTTTGTACTATTTGTTTGGTGCAATCTTTTTTTTTCTTCCTTTTTTTTTTTGGGGGGGGGGGGGTTTGGATGGAGTACCATTTCCAAAATAGAGAAAGAAACATTAATTAATCTACTAGTCCTAGTTGGACAAGAAACACAAAATTAAATTATAAAGTTAGCACTAGTAGGAGCCAAAATCTCATGCTGTCTTTGGTGCCTTGATTGGTTTTGTCACTTTTGCACTCCTTGTACCTCGTAGTGTTCCCTTGTGCAAGCTGTGCACAAGCGATGCACATGTACTATGGCAAATTAAATCTCCATTTATTATTGTCCACAAAAAGATTTTTTTTAAAAAAATCTGCAGATTGGCGAAAATTTCTTAAGTAGTACTAGAAAACATATATACACCCTTGATCAGAGATTTGCAGATTATCTGATCAGTGATACTGTCTCAGATAATGAGGACTACTCATGTACCCTTGATATAGTGATAAAATCAATTTTAGTTGATGCGTTACAACTGTCTTGTGCATCTCATCAACTGAACTGTCCATGCACAAATTAAACGGGTTAAACTGTTCTATGCATCCATCTATGAATAGTAATGTAGGTATGATGCTTCTCTGTAGGTCCATGTATTATGAATAGTAATCCATCTATGCAAAGTTTTTTTTTTTGCATATTCTTAAAAAAAAGTTATCGGTTGAGGGATCCACGTGCCACATAGAAATCTCTTGGAAACAATACAGCAAGTCAAGTGTAAGCTGCAATAATGTTAGTATCAACTAAACCTTTTTAAAACAATAAAAACCTTCTTGTACTTAGGCTGCGTTCAGGAGGGGTTAGGAACCCCTCATCTCCAACACGCAAAACGAAGCACATATTATTACATGATTAATTAAATATTAACTATTTTTTTTAAAAATAAATTAATATGATATTTTAAAACAAATTTCGTATAGATATTTTTTAAAAAAAACATATCATTTAGCAGTTTGAAAAGTATGCGCGCGATAGGTGTCACATCCTGATTTTCGTTTCAGGATTTATAAATTATTTAATAAATTATTAATAGAATTTATATTAAATGATCTTTAATTTTTAAGTGAAGTAAAATGTGGGAAATAAAATTTCTTAAATCTAAAGCATGGATGGATTTAATTTTTGTTAAATTCTCCATGGTTAAGTCAACTCTCTGAAATTTTCTCGGATTTTTCAGAGCTCAATTCTTAAATAATACAAAGAACAGTTCAGTAATTATTTGATTATTAATGATCTAAGTATAATTGTTAAGAGCTTTTCTTGTTTAAAAATCCTTAACTTATAAATTGTTGTTTAAAAGGAATTATTAGAAATGATTTTAAAAGCCTAAAAGAGAAGATCTAATTTTAATTTGCTAAATCTCAATATAAAAAGGGGCCAGATAAAATTTCATTAAATACTTTGCTTAATTCTATAATTCCTAGATTTTTCTGGGATTTATTTGAGCTAAGGAAGTATTTTTAATAAATGGAATTGCATTTAAGCAATAATTTAATTGAAAAAGGTTTTAAAAAGTCTTCTTTTGGCTTTGGGCCGAAAGCCGGCCCAAAACCCTTCTCTCTCTTTCCCTCGGCCCAGCCGGCCCAGTCCGCCGAGCCGCCGCTCTCCTCTCTCTCTCAGCCGCTGACAGGTGGGCCCCACCTGTCAGGTTCGTCTTCCTCGAGCCGCCGCTGCCGCCCGAAACCCTAGCGCGCCGCCGTCGCCGTTTCCTTCCAAATCCGGCCGCTCCTTTCCTTCTCCGGCCGAATTGATTGAGGGGAAACAATCTCCGGGATCTCCTCTACCTTTTCTCCTTTGGAAACATCGGCTAAATCGTTTTGGAAGTTCGTGGAATAGAGTTCGATTCGGATCGGCCTCTTTCCTTCAAGCCGCGAGCTTTCCTTCTCGTCGCCGGCCGCCGTGGGCCTTTGCCGCCGCCTCCTTGCACCTATATAAGGACCCCCAAGCTCCCCTCTACCCGTCGCCTCCTTTGCCTTAGCCTGCCGTCGCGTCTAGCGCCGCCTCCGCGTAGCCCTAGTCGCCGCCATCGTTGCCGTCGGTTCAGCCGCGCCGCGCCGCCGTTGCAGTCGCCGTCGTCGGTCGCCGTCGCCACCATCGGGTTCGCCAAGTCGTCGCCGTCCCCGTCCACCGCTTCGCCGCCGCCGAAGACCGTCGGAGCGCCGTCGCCGTCGTCGACCCGAAGAGCTTCGCCGCTTCCTCCTCGTCGCCGCCGCCGTCCGTTGGTCTTCCGCCGCCGTTTTGGTCACCGGTGAGTTCGCCGCGTCGTCCTCTACGTGCTGGTGCCCTCCGTTTGTGCCGAAGTGCCGCCGTTCGCCGGCGAGCGTGCGCCGCCCGAGCTGTCCGCTCCGCCGAGCCGCCGCCGCTGTCGGTGACGTCATCGCTGGCGTCATCGTCCCTTCTCCCGTGAGCCGGTCGTGGACCGATCGATCTCAGCCGTCCGTTTTGGATAGGGTTGATCTCGGCCGTCCGTTCCCGTGAACCGTCGCCCGTGCGCCCGGTCCACCGAAACCCTAGCCGCTGACGCAATAATCCTTCTTTTCCTTTTCAAAAATAATTCATTATTGCGTCATAATTCAATTAAAATCCATATAAAGGTTTTAATCCGATTTAATCTTTAAAAATTCATAACTAATTCATCTTAACTCAGTTTAATGTGGTTCAAGTTGCAAAAGTTGTATAAAATAAAGATCTACATATTAAAATTGTCCATAAATTGAATTAAATTTATTTAATTATTTTTAAATGGGCTTTAATTAGATTTAATCTTGTAAAATTCTTAATTAATTCATTTGAAGTCAGAATGAGGCCGTTCAAGTCTCATAATTCATCTAAAAATATGATCTACATGTTTGTTTACTTTTTATGTATTGTTTATTTGGTTTTTATTAGTCTTTTTCCTCGTTTTGCGTGATAGCTTGTCGTTTCAGTCGTTGCGAAGGTTCGCGAGTGCGCCGGAAGTATTCAAGAAGATTAATTGAAGACCGATTATTGCAAGGCAAGTCACACAGATCCCAAACAACCCTTTGAGCATGTTGATCCTATATTTAAATTCTCTATTTATTTCAACTGTGCATTTATTTTCGAATGTCATTGGGTGGAATTAACTTATTCTTTGTTATGGCCCTTTTGTTCTCGATTACTTTATTCCTTGATACCTTGGGTGATTATAATTGGACTAGTTGAGCTTTATATATATTGGTTCAACTAGATATTAGATGTGATTGCTTAGCCATGCTTAGAAACATTAGCACACTATTGGGATAACTTATGATTCATTATTATTTAATGATGGTTTAATGGTAGCTCACGATGGTCAATCGTGATTGGTTAATTAATTACTTGCCAACTAAAACTTGATAATGGTGGGTTGTGAGCACATGGTTTTGAGAGTCGTGCTCATGACAATTAAGGACCGGTTCGCGAGCTACTATTGTGAAACATTAATCGTGCCAACCACAAGCCAGCGTGGGCAACGGCTTTACCTTTTGTATAACATGATTCATTGCGGAGCACCAGACTGAGAAGTGGCGGAGATAAGCCCACGGGGGTCGCTGGGGAGTCCATGCCTTGTTTTATAAGGGGGTGATTATGATCCAGGAATGGTGCACTGTGGTGAGTTGTGTTATGCAGAGGGTATTGTCACAGCCTCTATTCGGGTACTTTCCAGTATCGCGACGCATGGTAGACATGATGTTGAGGCTGTGTCTTGTGGGTACAGTGGTACACCTCTGGCCAGAGTAAAACTATTCGAATAGCCGTGCCCGCGGTTATGGGCGAGTTGAGCAATGTTTTTCGTGATTAGTCCCACACCTCTCACCATAACTATGGATGTTATACTGGGTAATAATTTGCTTAGCTCCTGGTTTGGAGTTAGATCTGTTCAGCCGGGTATGGTTGTTCAGAATGGTTGGGCCTGTGCAGCATGGGTGTGCTGTTCAGTGTTGATTAAAATTTCTGATTAATTACTCCACTGTTTTACTTCTCTTAAATGTTTTGCTAAATGCTGCTTTTGCAAATGAGCCTATATTACGCCATCCTTTGGTATCCTTGTGCACTTGCATATTTGCTGTGTGGCTTGCTGAGTATGTCATATGCTCACCTTGCAATAATCAATCAACCTCAGTTGAAGAAAAAGGATCCAGAAGGAGAAGACGTTTGGTTTATACCCCAGTTGAGCTGCCTATGGGAGTGGAGCCGGAGCTTCGCTAGATTTTATTTTCCGCTGCAGTTTTCTTCTTGGTGAGGACTTAGTGCCTCTTAAGTAAGTATTTATCGTTTTAGTTAATTTGATGAATCTGTATATTAAATTGTCAGTTTGTGTACCTCGGCTGATTCCTGGACGAGGATTTTATGCACAAATAAGTTCGGAAATTACTAGTGAATTTCCGGGCGTGACAATAGGTGAGTTGGAAAAACTGGGGAAAGATCACAGCCTTAAGTGTCAGCTAAACATAGTTTGAACAGTTTTCTATATCGAGCTTAATTTAAAACAATAAAAACGTCGGTTTCGTATGGAATCTGCAAAGTTTTTTCTTTTTTAAAAAATATTCAACCATTTTTTTTATTTTGTACTCCCTTGAAATACCCAACATGTTCAATTTGTTGCCGAAACAAATCTTGTTGATTTTTGGTGATGCTAAACTTTGTAGGAGTATGTTCAGTATAAGGTATACCAAATTTTGGTATACTTTTGAAAGTGAAAACCTTTTTCCTTTTTTTGTTGGTGTTGCCTTTTTTTTATTTTCCAAAATTCAGCATGATTATGGTGTTTCAGAACATAATTGGTTTACTAGCAAAGTGCCACTGTGTTGCAACAGATTATTGAACATAAAAGAGTAATGTGGTTTCTTTCGGTCGGGGAAAAAAAAACCTGTCTCTACTTGGGTGAATCAAGGTCTCAAGGGTCTTCCTCTAAAAACGTGAACATAAAAAATAAAGCTTATTCTCTTGCTCGAATTTTAGTTAGCAGGAACCACATCGTTCTGATCGAAGGAAGGGCACCGATTGTTAGATGTCACGAATATGAAATCTCTCGGACTGCCACAAGCCCACAATACTCCCGCCGATCAAAGTATCACATATCATATATCCAATCCACGTAATCTTCCCGTACACACCAATTAGAAAAATATCACGAAAAATTTTACAAAATATTGGACATTTACCTATAATAGTATTACACATATATGCAGTCTTATATTTAAATTTATTATATTTTAGTCGTAACAAAAAAAAGTGAAAAACTAACAGTTTTTTGGGTAAAAATCTGTCACAATTTTGTCTTTTTTGTTACAACTAAAACATAATGAATTTGAATATAAGATTTCAGACGTTGGTGTAATACTATTGGAAGTATATGTCCAAATTTTTTAATTTTTTTTGTTACATTTATTAGTTGGTGTGTACGGAAAATTTGTATGCATAGTATGTAAAACAATTAGAAGTAAACCATTCACACGGTCTAAATTATCAAATATTTTCGTCATGAGGGAGTAAAATTTTACAGCATATATTTGTTGTACGTACATATATTGGTAATCATATATATGCAACCTTATTTCTCTCTTTTTCTTCGTGCAACCATAATTGATAATCATTTCACTTACTACTACTATCTATAAAGGAGTAGTGAAGGGTCTGCGGTCTGCAATTTCCATACCACCAACTTCTTACTCTTTCCAGTGAAGAAAGAACATAGGGAGTATATGGGGTAAAAGGATCCACGTGTCAACCACCTTCACCACCATTTATATTTTTGTGAGAAGGAAAAATGATATGATGAAAAAATAGGGACGCATATGTTAGTTAAAAGTATATAAAAAATTAAGAGATGATGAATAAAAAATAATGATAATAAATTATTTTTATGGATTAAAATCCCGTTACAACGCACAGATAATATGCTATTTTAATTTAACTTTAATAGGAATTGTAAATTTGACCCTGAGAAAAATAAATTAAAAGCACCACGTCATGTGCACATCCCGGCGCCACGTCACGCACAACGCCGTCCACGGTCCACCGTCACCGTCACATGGCCCCCTGGGCCCCACACTTTCTCTTCTCCTCTCCCTCCTCCTCCGGTCCAGAGAGCTAAAAAAAATAAAAGAGAAAAACTACGCCCACGCAATCGCCCACCCCCGTCGTCCAACATGTCCCACCGCCTGTGGGACCCACCGAACCGACCCAAACCCTGGCCCCACATGTCGGTGACGTTTTTCCTCTCCATTGGCCCCCACGAAACTGCTTGTCCACACCGCGGGAATCCCCACCCGGAGTATTCCACCGAATATTCCCCACCTCCTTCTCCGATACGACTACTCCATCCCCCCATCCACCTCCTCCGTTTCAATTCTCCGCCGCTCGCCGCCGCCGCCGCCGCCGCCGACGACGACGACCGTTCCACCGGATTTCGATCCGTTGATAGCTAAGCTGGTAGATCCCTCTCTCTCCGTTGCGGGGTGATGGAGGCCTTGCCTCCGGTGGCGGTGGCGGGGACGGTGCTGGAGGACCTTCCCGAGGACGCGCTGCTGGCGATCCTGGCGCTGCTGGCGCCGACGGACGCGGCGGCGGCGGCGTGCGCGTGCCGGAGGCTGGCGGCTGCCGCGTCGTCCCCGTCGCTCCCGCTCGCGCTCGCTCTCCGCCTCGGGCTGCCCCCGCCGCGGCCGCTCCTCCCCGCCTCTGCCGCGCGCCTCCTCCGCTCCCTTCACCGCCTCCGCCGCCTGCTCGGCCTCTGGCGCCGCCTCCCCTCCTCCTCCTTCTCCGGCTCCGGCTACCGCTCGACCTCGAGCTCGTCTTCCCTCGCCGCGTTCGAGTGGGCCCCGGGCGGAACCCTCGCCGCGTCGCTCCTCGCGCCCTCCGCGCGCGGCCTCGCCGTCGCCAAGTCCCCCTTCGTGACCCTCTCCATCGACGAGACCGGCGAGACGGTGGCCGCCATGGGGGACGTGCCGGTAAGCGTCAATTTCGTCGGGAACAACCACATTGTGGTGGAGGCCGCAGCGGCGTCGTCCGGGGACGACGACGACGAGGCCGCAATGGAGGGAGGCTCCCCGCCGGAGGTGATGTACATGCATTTCGCTAACCGGAGGAGCCCCGGGGCGGGGAGGAAGAGGAGGAGTAAGCAGGGGAGGAGAAGAGGCCGTGCAATGGAGGCCGAGCACTTCGTGAGGATTGCGGATGCCGAGCCGACGGAGGCGCGGCCTCTCCAGGGGCTGTGGAAGGTGCTTCCCTTGCACACAGAGCTTACTCCTTTGTTGTTGCATATGGTCGGAGCGCTAGCGTTTTCATTGGAATGGTTTATTGTCATGATATACTACTACCACTACTCGCCATCATGGAGTTCCTGCGGAGTAGCTTCTGCAGCTAATTTGGTTTCTCGTGGCAAAATTGCCGCTAAATGAAGATATTGCACAAATTGCTTGGGTGGCATATGCTCATTTTTGTGTACCTTTGCCCCCTTTTAATGGCATAGCTTGAAAGATCAAAAGGTAATTAAGATGTTACATATTTCATGGATATTGTGGTGCAACCTTTATATTTTCATGCATTATGATTTTCTCATTTGTGTGGATCTGTAGTTCATATTGCTGGAAACCAATTATGATTTATGAATAGTTGATCGCTAGACTGCGGTTGCATACTAAGGGAATCATGGCCATTATGCAGCTTACTGGATGGGTTTTCTTACTAGCTCATGCATTGGGCTACATGACCTGTCGGTGTGAAGTGGGAATCGCATGCAGTGTTCGAAACTTAAAATTGCCAGTAACTATTAATAAATTGTGTGGAAATTTAGCTTGCCCAATCAGATTGAAATTTCACCTGTACAAAACATTTGCCTCAATGTCTGTTTTTGACTTTCTTACCATGCACTTACCTTACCATGTACTAGTAAGGGGTACACATTTGGAGTTCATTGCTGTTAAGAAGAGACCTTCTGGAGGGGTACTACTGCCTGTACTATGGTAGTAATTACTTTATACTTAAAATTTCCTTACTAGTAGTCCTTCTGGAATTCAATACTTATACTGTATTATAGTTCAGAAACATGGAGAAGTCCCATCTAGCAACCCCTAAGTCATTCTGGGTATGAAATCCTTTTCACAAATTACAACTAGTCCCAGCCTCCCAGTTGTTAGCCTTTTCTAGCTTGAATTTTTATCTCTAATCCCCATGAACTTCCATCTTTCCATCCTGGGTTTGTTCTGTTAATGAAAGAAGGCATATTATAAAGTTTGACTCTGTCCAATTTGGATAATGTTATCATCCACTGAGTTGTATTAAACCACTATGAAAGCTGCTTAGCTGTAAGGAACTGGCAGTGCCTGTAACTGTGTATAATCTTGAGGAATGCTGGTTTTGGTTTATAAATTGTGATCTTTAGTGTGAAATCTGAAAACTAGTACAATTACATATTTATGGTTTCTTCATTGATTTTCTGCACAAGCAAGCATTACATTTTAGCATTTCTATTTTATGGAATGCTATTCATTTGCATTCAGACTGTCAAGCCTTGACATATTTTCCCCCCAATTAAATTGCTATTATGACTTAATTATATGATTTATGCCATCCAGTTGCTTTTCAAATACTGTGTTTAGTTACTAAAGTATGATTTTCCCATGCACACAAACTGATGTTAACCTTTTTTTTTTCACAAAACAGGGAATAAGTGAGAGTAGGACTCTTGAATTTTACCTTGTCACCTATGATGACATTGGAGGTATCACTTGTCGACAAGTTAGTGATACAAGGGGTCAAAACTCAGGGTTCACCCCTATCTTTTGGACTACAAATACAACATTTCTTGAACAACCATTCTCTGAGAAGGAGCTGGATCATTATATTAGACGTGAACATATTCAAGGCGTGGATTCCGATCATGCAGCAACTGAGAACAGAGCTATCTCTCGGATCTTGTGCATCAATTCCAGTTATGATGTTGTCGATCATCATCTGTCAGCTCCCTTAGATGATATGAGGAATGTGGAGGGAAGAATTTGGCTATATGATGATGGAACCTTTGGGTTCGGGTTCAGTGGGAGTAATTCAATTATAGATCTAAAGCATGTCTCCTCCGATGGTTGTATTCTTGATGCTTTGCACTAAACTTGGGTCCTCCTGGCTTGTAGTTGCTGCTGGGAACCCTTTGTACAGTGTTGTTAGGAAAAATTTAATAGTTGGTGTGAGGCATGTCGCCTCCGATTGTTGTAATTCTTTCTGACAACAGACAAAATATGGGTCATTTCTGGCATGTACTTGTTGCTAGAATACCCTATATCGTTATACTTAACGATATCATGGTCCCTTCTAGCATGTAATTGTTGCTAGAATACCTTTGTACATTTTTTTAAACATTGAATTCCCAATAAATCAGAGTTGTTACTTCTTCATGGGGGGTGTTATGTGGTTATGAGCTTTGAAAGACGAATGCTATGTCCTTATACAACTTTTCCATCCTGTTAGGAGGTTTGTATGTTGTTACTTACCTGTCTCATGACAGTATCTAAGTTGCCTCCTTCTCCTTTTGTTATGCTGTTTAAGAACTTCACTTCACTAAGCACATTTTCTTGAGGCTGATTTAAGTTATATTTTATATTATAATATTCGGCCGTATTACCCTTTACATATGCTTATTGAAGGCAGTTGATTTCAGCCATAATCTATTGTTTATTCGGCATTTCTGTATTTCGAGGCAACATAGTATTCTTAGATGCAACCTCTCTGTAAATACATTTTTCTTTTCTCATTGTAGCTGCACTGGAAGCATTTTTGAGGTTTGTGTCATTAAGCTAACCTGCTATATTGTTGTTAGATTTTCTGCGTTGTTCAAATCTGTAACTCATGGTCCCTTGTAACTTGCATTGTTTTTAATCTTAGGGTAACAGTAATTTCCATATGCCTACGCTACCATTTCATGTATACTTTGTTAATATAACTGTCATGTTTTGCAATACTAATGTGCCTTTGATCATTCTTCTCCAGGTGCAAATCTTATTATCGCTAGTTATTTTGTGTAGTCCAAGTTGGTGGACTAACGAAAACCTGAAGAACAGTTGTTTACGGGTGCTACCAGAACAAATTAGGTGAGCAAACTAAGACTACTGCCTAATGCCTTTAGTGATTTCCTTTTTCTCTCCTAAAAAGTGGTACAGTCATATTGCCAGCAGAAATTATAAACTTTGCCTGTCAACTTCTAACTTTAAACAACAACACGAAAATATATAGCTAGAACAGCTTGAGTACATATACAGATTTCTATTGTTTAGCCTGCATATGATCCGCAATATAAATAAAGGGTAAGTTACCCTGTGTCCTTTTTCTATTTTATGTTACTGCTGTTTTTGTTTCTTACCGCTAGGCTTGAAAGACAGTATGATGCTATGCGCTGTGTCAATGTACTATGTTAAGAATGTGTTCTATTAGAATTTACTATAATAAAATGGTTGCAATGCCTTCCATGTAATGCTGCATCTATATTTAAAGTTTTAACACATCTTTTTCACTGATATTTCGCATCAATATATGCCACAACATTTCGCTGCATAATTCATTTTCTGTCCATTCTTAGTATTGATTGTCCCAGTCTCCCAGACGCACAAAATACTTCACTTTTGTACTGCCTATGGCATGTTCCTTACCATCTCTTCATTATTCTTCTCTTTATATGCTAACTTACATGTGTGGTCCATCCAATCAAAGGCCCTTCCATTCATTCTCTGCTGTCCTCTGTACAAGCAAGCATATAATAATGTCCGACTGGTAGAAAATTGTCATGCTAGTTGGTCAAAGGACAGCTAGTGAGGGTGTCAGCATAATCAAGCTGGGTGACTGCGAATCCAAGCAGCTGGGAGGTGACTGTCATGATTCATGATCCTCTAGAAAATTAATACCACTTTAATAATAGAGTAAATTTCATAAAACCCCACCTATTATGGCTCAAGTTGCATAAAACCACAGGGGTTTTGGCACGTGGCACATAACCCTGGGTATTATGGTACTAAACTTTCACAAAACTACACTGTTAACCATTTTGATATACTCCTATATCAAAATTGAAAAAAGTGGATGTAACATTTATTTGATGAATAAAATCCTCATAAATTTGACATGTGATCGTAGAACTTAAAAGTGTGGTAAATTGAAGTCAAAATGATCAATAATGTGGTTTTGTGAAACTTTAGGACCATAAAACCTAGGGTTATATGTCACAGACCAAAATTCATGTGATTTTGTGCAACTTGGACCATAATAGGTGGGGTTTTATGAAATTTACTCTTAATAATACTATACATTTTTTTTTTCTTGGGACTGGTTCACCCACATCAGGGTGTCTGAATGGACCCAAAGTTTGTGATCTCAGGCTGGCAATCATATTCTGGTAAGCAAATAAGTTAATTGGACCTGATGAACAGAGCAAGCCCATGCTTGATTTAGTGAGGTGAACTCACTTTATGCATCCATTATTCCCTTTTTTAGTGTTCCCTACGACACAAATGGAACTTAAATAGTGAAATAGAAAAAGGAAAAGATTCTGATGTAGCCTGATAAACAACACTTTATAGTGATGCGCTGCTATATCATACACTTGGACATCTTAAACCAATGTTTTAAAATCGGAAAGTCGAGCGTGGTCTCCTCAGTACCAACTAGGACGACGATTAGTCGGACGACTTGAAAAATATCATCATCCAACTGACGAAGACAAATACCCTGGAATTGTATCTTGTTAACTTAAACTAAATATAAGAAGATGAAAGTCTTGAGTACTGCATCTGCATTGATGATTTTTCAATACTATAAACCGTTTATATTACTTACTTCCCTACTACTTGAAATCTTTACTCTACCTTCAGTGCACAAAAATTATGTTCACTACATTTAAAGCTTGTTGTACGGTCTTTTTCCGTACTGATTAATTAAATTGGCTCAGATCTGCTCTTCTGTGCCATTTCCTTTTGAGTTGCCAGCTAGTCAATCTTTTTCCTTGCTAAAGGTTTAGGTTGTTCAAAGTTGTTTTTTTATCATATGACCAAACCTGTGACTTTTCTTATGCTACTTGTTTGGACAAATATCATCTATTCGATAGATGAAACAATAACCTACTTTTTCTTGCTTGTATGCACGCAAGCATCTCACAAGTAAAGGTTCAAACCAGGTAGACATTCTGACTCCAATATAACAAGGTTTTACAAGCGGATACAAGCCAAATAATATTATTGTTCTCTGAATGCACATGACCTTCATTGGGAAAAAACTGTAAAGACCGCGCAAAGAAAGACATGGTGCTCTGGAGCAAAAGCAAGAAGATCATTATTTATCTCTGGAAATTTCTCAAAGGACTAATATTCTGAATCTTCATCCTCTACAGATCCAGATTGTGATGCCTTCTCATGGTCATTCTCAAGTTGGCTGAAGTTCCCCTTCTCTTTGATCAACTGAATATGGTGGTGCTTGCAATAGAGCTTCCCTTCGTGTGCGATGTAATTTGAGGGGCTAATGGTGCATCCTCCATGACAGCACTTGAAGCAGCTTTTGTGATACATGGTGTTATTGACAGTAACCTGCAGAGTTGGTAAGAATATTGGGATCAGTACTGTTTACCCATTCAAAATCAAGAGTCTGCAGCTCCTTTTCTTATCTTCAAGTAAAGAAAAAAAGATCAATAATTGAGGGTCCAACTTGCATATTCAGCAAATGTTGTCTTCATGAACATGAAGCCAGATACAGTCTACAGCTGGTCAAGTAAAGGAAACTCCCAAAAAATAAATGAGAGAGTTGATTAGAGTACAAAATAGTACCCTTTCAATTGGATAGACTGTCTTGTTGCATCCCACGCATTTCTCTCTCGTGCCAGCAAATGCGCTCGAGACTTTAATAGCATTCTGCCAAAAATACAATCATGATAAGCAACACCCAATGTGGTAGTTGATGACAAAGAAGGAGATGAACGATGCCAAATACATTATATGAAACCATACAGTACTGAGTGTAAGGGCACCAACTTTTGTCAATATTCTACTTCTCAATGTTTTCAAGTCGCATTTTTTTTTTGGTGCATAGTTGTCACCTTTTATTGAAATAGTTCCTACCTGGTCAGATCCATTTCTTATACTTAACGTTTTGAATGGATTAGTGTTTACTCATTAGTATTTGATATATATTGAGCTGTCTATACTTCAGATTGTGTCTATGAACTAAGCTTCATTCCTGATTAGATCTTTGCAGTTTTGAGAGGGGGATTTGTTATCTATTTGATCAGTGTGTACAAGTGCTTATAGTGCTTATATGTAACTTTGTGGTCTGATTTGAAAAAAACGAACTCACTAGTATTCCAGGAAATATGAACAAGTCTACTCTGGATATATTTTTAGAGATTCCATACCTCATTCTCAACTGTTTTTTCTGGCTTGACAACCTTTGGAGTTCCTGAACCATTGCAGGTGAGGATAAATACTAGTCAGGCTCAAGAACCACAGAATCATTCTGTAATTTCACAGGAATGAACCAGGGAGGTGAGTGACTTCAGTACCTTCAAAGCTCTTGTCTAAACTTCCAGTCCTCTTGAACAGCTGATCAAAGTGAGGCCTGCAGTAGAGCACTCCTTCAAACGAGTTGTAGTTCGCGAGCTGCAGCGGAAGCATCATCACGATGCATATTCTGGTAAGTTTCTTATGCCACTTCACTTCTTTTACCATTCCTCATAAAAGAAAAAACTCAAGAGAAAGCTCACAGAAAACAACTCTTTCACTGAGCATAAAATGTGCAGGCTGGGCAGTATCAAGAAACCCCCCTGATCCCCAGGTCCCCAACCACTGATGCATACCTTGAGGGTGCCCTTGCAATGGTGGCACCGGAAGCAGGCCTTGTGGTAGACCCTGTTGTCGGCGGTGAGCTTGTCGACCAGGTACACCGTCTTGTCGCACGCCATGCACTTGGTCGTCGTCCCCTGAAAGGAAGTCGCCATTGCCCAGCTCCCTCACCTTCTTCTTCCCTCTCTCTCCCTCTCCCTCTCTGCTTGTGCTTTCAGTGTCCAAGAAAAACGACCCCTCAGCCCTTGAGCTCCTTATGGTTATATGTGAATGGTGTCGTGGTTGGTGGTGTCCTGGCCTGCAGTCATTGATCCTGCAGGGAGGAGGAGGAGGAGGAGGAGGACAGCGAACGCAAGCAGGCACAGGCAAGGACAGCTTGGTAGACAGGGAATATTGGGGGTGTCAGGATGGGGTGTGTAGGAGAGGAGAGGAGAGTAGGGTGGTGCGAGGTGTGGGGGCCGGCCGGCCTGACATGAACGGGAGAAAGGGCATAGTGGTGTGGTGGTTGTGGAAATTCTTTTGCGGAGTGGCTAAGCAAAATCCAGCCAGCACAAATTGGCCATGACTGCTCGTGACATGGGAGTGAGAAACTGAGAAAATACTTAGTGACAATCATTAGAGAGATAGGCAAGGATATGGGGAGGGATGTCTCCTTTGTTTAAGTTGATAAATTATTTTTTAAGTAAAGTTTACTTTGGACCACCTTTATTAACCAAAGTTTCACAATGGACTAGAAGTAAACCTAACTTTCCACATAACACCACATATAATTACCATTGTTGCACTTTGGACTAAGGTTCACAATTTGGGGCTTTATTCTTGCTTTAGCCAAGCTACAAAGCAGCAGCCGATGGAGTATCGGGCGACATAAAAGATCGGTATGGCAGCAATTGGGTATTGCATCGTGCTAGATAAACGATCAGTGCAATGATTTGTTCTTGCATTTCGGTATTTTACAATAGTGTGTTAAAAAAATAATTTTGTGTTTTCATATTTGGTGGCAAGAACTTCGATGGTGGTGGAAGCCCTCATATTGGTTCTCATAGTTTATGGCAGCAAATAGACAAAATTCGGAGCCAACCCACATTGTTCTTGCCAGCATGGCAGCTCAAGTTATCTAGCCCCGGTCCAAAGTGCAAAGAATAGTAAGCATATGTGGTGTTAAGTGAAAAGATTAGCTTACCCCTAGTTCATTGTGAAACTTTGGCTAATAAAGATGGTTCAAAGTGAAATTTACTCTCTTTTTTTCTCGAACACGCAGGAGAGATGCACATCATTCTATTAAGAAGAAGAAAAGTAGTCCGAAATGACTCGTAAACGCCCATTAAGGCAAATTAGAGGGAGGGGGGTGATGTTGATCAGGTGATGGGTGATTTGGAACAGGAGAACGCAGTTGAGTGAAAGGTGAAGGACAACTGATTGCTAGGATTGCTACATCTTGAGGGGATTTGGGAGGTAGATTATTAGCTAGGATTGTGATATTCTTTTTTGTTGAAGTTAGCTTAAGAAGATAGCTTGGTGATCTTGGCAAAAAGATTAAAACTGCTTTGAGGATCTAACCTGCTTGATTGGAACTTGGTGCCACACCATGTGCTCCTGAACCAAGGATGATGTGCCTGCAGCCTTTCTATATTCACGTCCTTTGGTTGCTTCTAGTGAAAGTGAAAACTTATTTTTACTATTTCCTTTTTTTAAAAAAACTTTTCATGGGAATGAGTTTGCTTCTAGTGAAAGTTGAAAGTAATGGATTCGGATTTCATTTGGTTTTCTAGGTTATCACTAATTTTATTCTTTATAGGGTACATGTACTGTTGTACTCTTTTTTTCATTATCTTCCCATGTTGTACTCATAATATCTGTGCATAAATGAGCTAGGTGATGGTACTAGCACAGGTTATGTAACTTAGATCCAATAAAAGAAATTGCACAGCTGAATAACCAGCATCTACATTTCACTCGACATTTTATTTTTGGTGCAGGCCCTCAACAGTTCTTTCTAAAATACATGCCATTGCATTCTTGCCTGTTTGGGTCATACAGAATTAGCATTCTACTACTTAACTGATATTTTAACATTGCAGGCCATACATTCATACATGCCCATCAGTCATCAGGTGTAATGCTGATCAACAACAGATTCTGTCGACAGGGCCACCACAACGGACATGAAAGGTAAGTCTTCATCAACTCTTGGATTCTGTTGTTACAACCTTCATCCTCACTCATTAGCTACTAGCATTTAACTATACACAAAAACTTGGAGAGATTGCATGTTGGGTGGCATGTAGACCTCTTTGTGGGGGCCAACTCAACTCTTGGTTTCGTTTTCGCCTTCTGTTTGCAGATGGTGATGCACACACATTTGCATGAATCGGTGATGATTTGATGAGTGAGTGTGTGTTATGGGGAGAAAGATAGTGATATGTTGTTTGGTTGTGATGTGCTGTATGCTGTTCCTGTCGGTAGGCCATGTAAAGCCAGCTTTCTCGCTGAAAAGAAATTGATGCAGCTTAATCATGTTTTATTTTTTTTAAAAAAAATTAGGTATTAGCTGCAAATCCAGCGCAAGTGATGCACTGATTTGATGACTGGGCTATGGCCTGTCACTGGACCCAGGTACAGCAAAAGGCTGTTATGTGTTTCTTAATCATTTTTATGTAAAAAGAATAATTGCTTCTTCCCGTCTTAAATGTTTGACATTTGTCTCATAAAAAACTACTACTTGCTTGGTCATAAATAAATATTTAACATTTAGGTACAACATTGGATCAAACTTATAAAAGTTTATATTAACTTTATATTACAATAAGTTTGTTTGTAAAATAGTAAGATTATGGTTTTATGATGGTACTCCCTCCGTCCCACAATATAAAGGATTTTAAGTTTTTGTTTGCAACGTTTGACCACTCGTCTTATTCAAATTTTTTTTGCAAATATAAAAAACAAAAAGTTGTGCTTAAAGTACTGTAGATAATAAAGTAAGTCACAAATAAAATAAATAATAATTTCAAAAAATTTTGAATAAGACGAGTGGTCAAACGTTGCAAGCCAAAACTCAAAATCTCTTATATTATGGGACGGAGGGAGTAATTTTTAAGGAAAACCTATGCCTATCATTTTTTTTTAAAAAAAGCACTCCATTGGAAGTTTAAAAGGTTTATCAGATGTAGTTCTACTCCCTGCGATCATAATATTTCACATTTAGGTGAGTTTTGGTCAAACTTTTGTAACCATTAATATTTTTTTCTCAAATACTTAGTTTTAAAATAATTAAAATAGTACGAGTAGATTCACACAAGATCTTATAAAATCAATGGTTAAATTTTAAAATTTTAATTGAATTTTCTCTAAACCTCAGTATGACCGGAGGGTGTAAACATTAAATATTTACGATCGGAAAGATTGGAAGTTGACTAGTGGAGTACTACATCTGATGAAAAGAGAAAAAAATTGTACATCATCTAATCTACTACCTCTATTTTATATTATAACTTGTTTTGGGTTTTTCTAAGTCAAACTATGATTAAGTTTACAGAAAAATATAGCAATATTTTCAACATAAAATAAAAACTATAAAATTATATTCAATGTCAGTTTAATAAAACTAATTTGCAGTTATAAATATTATTTTTTTATATACTTGGTGAACCGAAGTCAAAACCCTAAAAAAAAACTAAAGTCAAAACTAAAATGGTGAAATGGAGGAAGTAATCCATTTTGCGGGCCTTCATTTTCTCTTCAGGCCAGGCCGAAGCGGCTTAAGCCCATCTACAGACCAGGCCTGAGACCATCTAGCAGGAGACACGTGGGCTACCACGTGGCAGGTTGCAGCCCACACGTACAGACGAGACGAGACGGCCCGCTTCGTGAGCCGCGCGCGCGACGCGGACTCGCATATCGCTCGCCAGCGCGGACACCCCTGCGCGCCGCGTCGTCTCGCCGGGAAGCTTCCCAAATCCCAACGGGCCACACGTACGGTACGGACACTCGCGCTCCGCCGCCCTCACGCGTCTTCCATTCTTGAACACCACCACCCCGAGCTAGCTTCTGCTGCAGTATAAAGGAGGACGCGGCGGCCGGGGCGAGCAGCAGAGAGCAGCGCCCGCGGTGGAGGAGATTCGGAATCGGATATGCGGCTTCTTCGCCGGAAGTCTTCGATGGGCGGCGGAGGTGGCGGTGGGAGGGGGCTGAGGCGGGTGGTTAGCTTGCCGAGGTCGCCGATGGCGCTGTCGCTGGCGCCGAGGGCGTCGCTGGCCAAGACCGAGTCCATCAAGAAGAGGGATAAGAACAACAACAAGGGGTCCAAGAGGGCCCGCCTCCGCGCCGGGCTCTCCGCCGCGCTCCACCTCGGCGGCGGCCACCGCCGCGCCGGCAGAAGAGGCGGCGGCGGGGACGAAGGAGCCGGAGCGGTGTCATCAGCGGCGGCGCCGGGTGTTGCAGTGCTGCTTCGCGCGGCCGCTGATGACGCCGACGAGCGGCCCGCGGCGGCGGCGGCGAACGTGGGGCACGGGGGCAGAGATCACGCGAGCGGTGGCCGCGGCCGGAGCTGGGCGGTGGCGGTGGCGATGGTGCTCGTGCTGGCGTGCGTGGTGGCGCTCGGCAGGGGCCCGGCCATCTGCTGCTGCACCTGCGCCGCCTGGTGGTGCGGCGGCAGGGCGGTCGACCCCGCGTGCCGGCGACGGTGGAGCAGCATAGGCGGCGGCGGCGGCGGCCGCCATAGCAGCGTACCACCTCAAGCTGGTTGCTTGAAGCACTAGTACTTGGCTTGTGAATTGTGATGCGTGCGTGGCAATGTGTATAGCATTTTTTCCCCCTTTTTGTTTACTCCCTCCGTTTCACAATATAAGTCATTCTATCATTTCTCACATTTATATTTATATCTAAATTTATTAACATCAATATGAATATAAAAAATATTAGAATGATTTATATTATGAAACGGAGGAAGTATTTATTAGTATACCTTTTCCATCTTCTTTAGTATTTTTTCACAGTGCAATTTTGTCCTCTAGTTAGTCACGGTAATTTACAGTGTTTTATTAATTTTAGCTTTGTTGATATCTTGCCTAAATCTCCACTGATCGTATCCAATAATCCGAGTCTACGACTACAAATTTCGAGGATTTTATGATGGATGTTTTAGATAACATCAAATGGTTGAAAGCAGATTTGACCTAGTAAAGCAGATCTGACTACGTTAAACTGGTGCTTTATTCGATCCCACACTTTTAGCATGTTTAGTGTTCCCATTTATGATTTATCATTGTAAAAAAGCATTATTAAAGTTTATCTAATTTGTGAGTATGTATTTCTTAGCAATATAAATTATGGCATGCTACACCTTATAGATACGTGTTTGATAAATTGAAGCATGCAAACAAACAATCACTAAAATTCCTATGACAACCCCCTAAATTCATATGGGCCTTTAACATTATTTGGAAAATAATAAGATCTCTTCAAGAAAAAGGCTATATAAAGCATCCAAATTCTAAAAAAGAATAAACATAACACGGTCTTCAGAAAATTAAATGCAAACTCATGACTTTCGCATTCTTTTTGGTTTAGAAGTCCAATACACCCGCCTTTTGTTTTTTTTTCTTTTATGCGACTGTATTTATGTGAAACAATTTTTGTTCCTACCTTTTCTTAGAAAAATGTTGCATCATTTTACAATAACCCATTCCAACATTTTTTCATTCCAACATTTTTTCTTGTTCTATGCTTTTATTCCATATAGAATATAATACGAGGTTAATTAAAATTTAAAAAAATCTAAAATTAGAAAAAGCAAAATAAAAATTCAACGAGAAATACAATTTATAAATAACTAAAATTCGTAATAAAAAATAAATACTATTAAAAAAGAGACCATCTAGAATACGTAAGGAGATTAATTAACAAATAAAATAAAATATTAAAATAGAAAATAATTATAAGAGTTAAGAAGAAATATAATTTATAAATAAAAACAACCCTCATTTAGAATTTTAACAAAGTCCAAACAGCAGGTACCTTTTTAGAAAAAAAAGAAAGAAAATCTAGGACCTATATAGACTCTTGTCCTTTTACACAGCCGCCCTCCTTCTGACAGATGGCCCCCCACAAGGCTATTAAACGCCTCCAGTGCCTCCCTGCCAGGTGGGTCCCACATCGAGCCTTTTTAAAAGGGAAAATCCCTCGTGGCGCACCGACCGCGCGAGAGAGGGATGGAGATTCACGAATATCCAAATCAGAAAAGGTTCAAGACGGCGAGGAGGAGGTGGAGGAGTCGGCGAACGAAGCAAGCAACCGAGGAGCAGAGCAGCCGGCGCCACTACTCCTCAAACATGGTGTTCAAACATGGTGTGTTCGCTAGTAGTGGTGGTTGCCAACTGAGAATAAGTAGGCGCCGAAATCGGAAGTGATCCATTAGCGCGTGATTAATTAAGTATTAGCTATTTTTTTAAAAAAAATAAATTAATTTGATTTTTTTAAGCAACTTTCGTATATAAAATTTTTGTAAAAAACACACCGTTTAGCAGTTTGAAAAGCGTGCGTGTGGAAAACGAGGGGGAGGGGTTGGGAAAAGGAGGTAGCGAACACACGGTATCGGTATGATTTGAGTGGACGCGGGACCCTTCAAAGTTAAAGGCAATGATTAAGTTTACCTTTTTATCCATTTAAGATAATACTCTGTTTGTCCAAAATCATTTATTCAGATTCTTGGAATATTCCAAAAGCCAAAACTTAGAGATAGGTTTGGACTTATTATCTCCATTTCCTAAAGACGAAGGCGGGAAGAGAAATGGGAGTTTCAAGGAAGGAGTTGATGGTGGGATTGGGGGAAGAGGAATAAGAGTTTCAAGGAGGGAGTTGATGGTGGGATTGGTTATGGGAGTTACATTTTTAGTCCCCATCCTCACATCGAATTCCCTCCAAGTCTCACGAATTAACAAGCCTCTCCCAGGTAAGAGATTGGTGGGAATTGGACCTCTTAATTTCCCATCCCAAACCCCCTCGAATTCCCAAATCTTTCAACCAAACTACAGATTTAAACTTCCAGATATGATAAACTCCCATTCCCCATCACCAACTCCCTCCAACCAAACAGGCCGAAGCTTTACTACACCTCTGGAGTTTTGGACTATTTGATACCAGATTAGTGCAAACTTTTTTTTTTGCGAGGGAGATTAGTGCAAACTGAAGTAGCTTTGATCCCAATTTTGACTCTTGTTTTTTCGTCAACCTGCAGATTGGCTGCCAAGACATCATCGAACCAAGTTCCTGAGGTATCATTTTCCTCACTTAAAGATTATTAAGTAAATGTTTAAATCTTGATACTGTCCTTTGTGTGTTGGGAGTGTTTACCATTGTAATCTCTTGATTGATGCAGTGGAAGATGTGATAAATTCTTCATTTGTGTTGACCTTGCGGCCCTTAGCATGTAAGTCAATTATATATACGACTATACCACTCATCCCAAAGTACTTACGAATATATGGTGATTTGTGACATCTAGTACTCTACTACTGTCT